GTATGTAAATATAATATGTGAAGTGGTATTCTTCCAAAATAATTATTTGTTATACAATTAACTTTCATTATCCTATTTCATGCGATTTGCTAATGTCATGAAATACAGGTTTAGTCACGATATGATATTTACACTGGTATTTGTAATCAATTTATAAATAAACATTGATTAGTTTTAATCACTTTGAATATTAAAAGTTTGCATTTCTTGACAGTTGCGAATTAAAAATCATTTTGACATTCATCAAACGGTGTCATCAATTAAGTCAACAAAATAGATTTGTGTCTCCTTTCATATTTGCGACATGCAAATGGCACCTGCAAAATCTAGAAAAAAAAAAACTTTGTTAACAATATTTTCCCCACCCCTTTTCTTTATTTTGTTTTGTTTTTACATTTTCGGAGCGCATTTCCCCGGTGCGTCTTGTGTAAATGTTGTTTCTTATAATCCAGTTTCATCAACGATCGTGTCTGAAATATTGTCAATAAAACAGGAATAAAGTTTCCTTTTTTCTTGATTTAGCCATACAGATAATCAAATAATGGCATGGTCCAAATAATTTTGAAATGGTGATGTTGAGGTTGAATTATAAATGCACTGTCAACCATGAGTGGGGGAGAGAGAGCGAGAGCGAGAGAGAGAGAAAGATAGAGAGAGAGAGGGAGAGAGAGAGAGAGAGAGAAGAGGTCGAGAAGAGGGAGAGGAATGTAAAATCAATGATTAAAGAAACTATTTATTAGTTATCTCCACATGTAATGTTACATGCATTAGGATTGTCGCTATCCACTTTCATCACTCATGTTTATTTGCTGCTCATTTCAAATAACATTTTGAATCGTAGCTCTACAGGCCATGACCTTCATCGTCATTTCTGGTCAAGAGTTTCAAACTAGATGTATTTTCTAAGTCTCCAATGGAAAAGGAAACATTACTTTTTAATTAGAAAAAAGTGAATGTTCAATCTATTTTCACTCCCCCGGGAGTCACGTCAATGATCACTTGTTTAGGAGTGAATATCGATTGATTTTAGAGTGCTCTCTAAGAAGAAAAGAGGGAATGATCAATCTATTTTCACTACATTTTCCCTCTCCAGAGGAGTCACGTTAGAGATCACTCGATTTTGTTTAGAGAGTATACGTTACAGTAAATGTATCAATTTCAGTGTTTGAAAGTGGAACATTTTTTTTGGTGTCAACTGGTGAGTGGCATCGCCAAGACACAAGAAAGAAAACGAACGTGGCAAAACCTATAGGCGACAGATGAATTGTAAAAGTTTCATTGTTAGATCTAACATTTCCTGCACAGGCAATGCAATTCAATGTAAATTAAAAGAAAATTTCTGAGGGCAAATGAGGGCATTTAATGCCTGCCCCCTTTTCATCAAACAATTCCTATTGAGGAAATATCGATCGATGGGTGACTAACTAGCAAAGTATGCACTTTTACTTTATCAAGAAATAGTTCATATCATTAACAAGGACAGTATTTCTAAAGAGTTCTTTATAAAAAAATTATCCTTCTTTTTGAGCAAGAGCCTGTAAAGCAAGGCGCAAAAATCGGAATAGCGTTTTTATGTGAGAAAAGTGCACCTGGCTTTGTAATAAATTCACAGCCCGCGCTCTATTATTAATCTTTTTGTCGCTTATCCGTTTATAACATTTAAAGATAGGGTATTCTTCTGACACTTCTTCATATTTTTGCTTATACTGCCATCTGCTGCTCACAATGTTCCGGTGTGTCGACAGCCATGCCCCACAATGCATCACAAACTGATGCCGCGCGCGAGATGATGCTTGGAAATAGGAACAGGAAATTGCTCTATATATGTTCGCCTTCACCGAAAGATAGAGCAATTAAAAATACATTAAAGCAGTGGGAGCGATGTCGGGGGAAACCCCCGCCTTTAAAGGTACTATGTCCCTTTTGCAGGCCAAAAAAATGAAAAGGGTTAAATTCCAATGGCATTCGAAAGATAATACTAATTTAGAACTCCCCTTAAACAAATGGGGCTTGAAAATGTCTTTAAGAGGGAAAATAACGACTATTAGTTGTCAAATTGACTTAGGAGCTATAGAGCTAATAAGTAATAGTCTTGATTTTCAGACCATTGTACCGCATGGTCGTACGTTTTGTGCTGCGCAAAGATTCAATCAGTTTAATTTTTGGCCATTACAAGAAGTGGGTTATTGATGTAGAAAAATCCTTTACATCTCATTTTATGTATGTTATTACCAAAGAAGAAGATAAAGTCAGTCAGTCACTCAATACTGACAATAGTGTCTGACAGTGAAGTCTAGCAAGTAAACGGGTTTCCTTGCATAATTTGAAAATTAGGACACTGCTAACGTTTAAATTTCACAGATGGGACATACATGACATATTCATAATTCCTGCAAAGTTCTACATAATTTGAGGTTGGCTGCAAAAGGAACATAGTATCTGTAAGAGAGAATGTGATTCCCAGAAAACAATTTTACCTCAAATAAATTACATATTAACGTCTCGCTACATACTTATTTGATGGAAACATGCATGAAACGTGCATACAGTGATGGATGCGTGAAAATCGAAATGTATCTGTTCCACCATAATTACAGACCGCCACCACTTATAGAGGAGGATTATAATCATGATCATGGGGTAAGTAATAGCTGTCTTTATATCATGTACTGATTATCACGCACGATTATCAAAATTAATTGTGTGACTAACAGTCGGTGGATTAAAGGATGCTTACGTGTAATATTGTATGTAACGAGGGGAATGAGAATAATAAATTATGAGATGTATTTAGTATATATATAAGCGTTGTTATGGTGAGGAAGAGATGGGGTGAAAACAATATGGAAGGATAAAGGAGAGAGAGAGAGAGAGAGAGAGAGAGAGAGAGAGAGAGAGAGAGAGAGAGAGAGAGAAGAGAGAGAGAGAGAGAAAGAGAGAGAGAAAGAGAGAGAGAGAGAGATAATAGAGGGAGAGAGATAATAGAGGGAGAGAGAAAGAGAGAGAGAGAAAGAGAAATAGAGAGAGATAATAAAGGGAAAGAGAAAAAGAGAAAAAAGAGAAAGAGAGAGAGAGAGAGAGAGAGAGGGAGATATGAGTAAGGTAGATAGGTAGATATAGGTGTGAGTGGATAGGGAAGAAAGAGAGGCAGAGTCACGAACATGTAGAAGGTAAGTGGCTGTGAGTGACAATAATGCTGGCAGTCGGAGAAGAGAGAAAGAGAGGGGAATAGAGATGGAGAGTATGGTCCCTTTCGCACAAACATTGTAACAACACCATCGGCACGGTTTGAATATTAAAATGACAGGCTGATCAATTTGAAATATTACATTTTTATTTGTTATTTTCACATATAGAATGGAGCATGAATTAGATTGATAAACCTATGAAACTCTAGGTTAAAAGCAACATTATAAACATTGAGTAAGCGTGTATCTGTAGTACGAATAAAACGCTAATATATTATGGTTACATATTTACAATTTCGATAGAAAGACAGAATACACAAGTTAACGTCACAATCATCACAATCGAAGAGTGAAATTAAAAGGCAGAGAATTATGACAAACATCAGGTAACGAAACACAATAAACAGTTTATTAAACCTGAACTCGCCATTGGTGTACAAGTACTAGTCAAAAGTTTGGATGAATGATGATGATGATGATGATGATGATGATGATGATGATGATGATGATGATGATGATGATTGTGATGATGATGATGATGATGATAATAATAATGATGATAATAATAATGGTATGATGATAATAATGATAGTATAAATAATAACAATAATATAATAATTAATATAATTATCATTATGATAACAATAACATTAACATTATTGATAATAATAATAATATAATAAGTAATATGATTATCATTATAATAACAATAACAGTAACATTAGTAATGATAACAATCATAGTAATAATAATAATAATTATAATATAATAAGTAATATAATTATCATTATAGTAACAATAACAGTAATATTATTAATGATAATAAATATAATAATATTAATAGTAATAATAATAATGATAATAATAACAACTGACATGAATACATAACAAGATATTAATAGTTACAATAGCAATAATAGTACCAGTAAATAACACCATTTCTGTTGTAATATATAGATATGGATTATTGCAAATACGCGAAGACATAATGGTCTAATGGTCCAATGATAACAATAATTACGACTCATACCTTCCTTTGAAGTAACTTCAATCTTTGCTCAAAGATTATTTTTCCTTTTAGGAATGATATTTAGTAATGATATGTCTACGTTATCTAAAATATTGTACTAACGTTTCTCCATTCATGGTATTAAATAAAAGCGCAACACGAGTCTTTTATTTATAACATAAGAATTATTCATCTCTATGCATAGAAATCATCAAAATTATCTGATAAATCTGAAAGATCATGCATTTCATTATTATCAACCCAAAGTGAAATTTAGATTTATTTTTTAATATTTGGCCAAACTCGTAAAATCATGACACTGCAAATTAAATGCGTTCGCCTCACATTGGCAATATAATCACGTATTCGGCAGAATAATTGATTTTATTGATTTCAAGCGTGCTAACACCTATATTGTATTATCAGTCTCAGTCGGAGATACCGCCTTGATTCAACACTGTCACGCATAGCCTTGCAGTGGCCGGGGCACATCCATTATTAGAACGCAAATATTCATGATTCATTGTACCTTGTGCATTAGAATCAGGGTCTATATTCCAATCATTTATTATATCGGTGTCATGAGAAATATGACGTCCTTCGGAGAGGAAAATTAAATGCATATCAATTGGTCATTTCACATGTAAAGCCAACATCGTATAGACTTTACAGCGTGGGCGATTCCTGTCTCACTACGAACATGAAACATAATAAGAATTATTGCAAACTACACCACCCCCCCCCCCCAAAAAAAAAAAAAAAAAAAAAATATATATATGTATATATATATATACAAATAAAAACAATGTTTTTTTTAATACGCGTATTCACAATATACCTTGTTTTGTCCTTGGTTTAAGTACCATACAGACCCTGCTTCTTTTCTTTCATCCCCGATAATAATCCTGAAGTTTGAGCTTAGCCTTAATGAAAATGTGTTACCATTAAACAATTATTGATGTCTTTAAACAAAGGTGGACTCATGATGCAGTTATCAGGGAACTCCATCCCCTTCCCCTTTAATGAACATTGTGTATCAGCCCCTGCTCTATAGTATTGATCAAACTTTGTCAGGACACAGCATTACAAATTACTAAAATGGTCTGAATTCAGATTTCATAAAGCATTTTACTTATATTTGTATTGCACATAAATAATTGATAAGTGGAACGAATGGAATGAAGAACAATCATAAATATTTAATAACACGATAACAATTATTTGTATACAAAGAAACAATATAAATATTATACTTTTTCATTTCACCTAGAATTGTTTGAGCAGTTCACACGGACACTCGATAGAGGAATCCTATTTTGTCAATAATAAAGACTTATTCAACATCACTTCAGAAAACTAATAAGCGCAAACATGAAATTTCCTAACATAGCGCAACAGAGAACTGTTCCACACAAAGAATCGAAAGCCAGAGCGACTTGTCTCCAGACAAATTGGTTGACGTCTTTACTTTCTGAGTCGAATGCTAAGCGCCGGACTTCATCTTTTTTCACATCCGTGGTGGTCAAAATGGTGGTCGCTGTGTTGCCATTGGTGAGGACTTCCTCGTTGGTGGTGACTTTGCTTTCTTTTTCTATGATGTAAATCTTCCTGCAAGACAGGAAAAATGTTAACATTGTTGATAGAGCTGTAGGAGAACTTGATTTGTTTTACTCCTGAAAAAAGCTAATTTGTCCTTAATCATTAATTTGTCTGAAACTGATTCAACATATACTGCACACGTACATGTGAATATATATTACATTATATCGAATGATCCATCGCCTTATTGCCTAATTGCCTTTCTCTTTCATAAAAAATATTCTTTCAAAAGACATGAATAAATCAAAGGTGTCGCAGTCGAATGGTTTGAGCACTTGAAAGGGAATGCAAAGGTCGTGGGTTATTAATCTATATTTGCCATTCCATCCCAAGAAGAGAAATTGGGAACTGGTAGGATACGAAAGCGATTTCGATTTAGAGACTTCTGATAAAGTAAGTGTTAGGCGCTATATAAGCAAGGATGATTTATTATTATTATTATTATTACCATTAGATAGGAACACTCCCCAGGGAGGGGGTATGGCGCACATTGTGGGTGACTGACTCCCTTGAACGTGATAATAATGATAGCCGTAAAATATGGTATGTCGTATCTATATAAATTAGCTATATAAATTCAGATTTTTTATTATCATTATTATCTCTTTCATTACAATATGATATTCACAAGCTCTGCTTATCTCGTTTCATGTTATGCTCTGGCATTTGGTTAAAAAATAGGGTAAACAAATGTATATGCCTAAATAAAGGAGGATCACACATTTTTGTTTAGCGAGCAACACACGAGGTTTGGGTGAGCAACAGCTCGTGAACCTAAAACCATTAGGATATGTACAAATATCTTGGGGAACGTTGGGGGTGATGACATGTATGTGATGGATCTTAAGACACACGTCTTTCATAACTTCCTGTCTTCAGCTGTTCGAGTTAACTGCTCAAAAGACATTCCCTGCCCAAGACAATTCCGGACCAGGGTAGGTCTTTCGATCCACCCCAAACTCACACACCCATCCACGAAACGAAGATGCTCGTGTTCTTGGACGAACAACTGTATTCATTTTAAGCTCCTAGGTGATGCAGCACCTTAAGACACTTTTCAGAAACTTCACACGGTTTGAATATACACACTAAGAAGACAGTGAGGGTGCAGTTTTGCTACAATAGCAACACCCTCTGCAATATACGCGTATGTGGATGCAACTATGCACCCCAATTGCACCCTTATTTCTAAGTGTGTGTACCTGATGTAGCCTCTGGCTCCACTTCTTGAGAACCAAGGCATGATAAGCTTGATGACCCATCGTGGAGGCCTGGTGTTGGTGTCGTGGTGGTAGAGCCGTAACACAAGTACTGAGAGGAACACAGCGCATCCGCTTAGGATGATCAGCATGAAGAAACACGTGACTGTCAAAGAAAGAGAGGGAGATGATGTGAGAATAAGAGAGACAGACAGGAGTAGAACAAGTGGACGGAAAGAAGATAAGAGAAAAGAGAAGTGGCGGGAGAAGGGAGAGAATGGGAAAGAGGGAGTGAGATTGAGAGGAGAAAGAGAGAGAGAGAGAAAGAGAGCGGGGTGGGAGAGAACAGAGTGAATTTCACTTTATTTTTTTAATCTCTCTCATTCAGTATTCCTTGCAAAACATCAGATAACAAATTTGAGACCTAAAGAATCTTTCTCAACAAGAAGGTACTAGGACTAAAAGAACTCTTTGAATGATTGTTCTTACCCCTGTCTCTTTGAGTCATATCGACACACAAACTTAATCTTACGGCTCAAATACAAAATCCTTCTATTCACCAACCGTAATTTAGAAAGAGTCAGCAAAATGTGATAATCTGATGTAAAAGGAACTAACACTGTGTGCCAAATGTACATGTTTGGCCTTCGGGGTAGATACCTAAGATAGATCTTGGTTCGCCGATGGGCGGCATTTTGTCAGCCACTAACTGCTGAAAGAGCGTGAGCGCCAGGAGGTTGGTCACGGTGAAGGTCACCTTCTCCCCTGAGTCCGGATGCAACCAGAACCCAACCAACATGAGCGCCGTCAGGAAGATGGCGGGCACCACCACGTTGGTGAGAAAGAAGCCTGACTCTCTCAGGAAAGTTAGTCGATACTCGATGTGGTCGTTAGGGTAGGGACAACAAAGGTACTTGATGCTTCGGTTGGTGGCTGTGAAGCTCACCAAAGACCAGATGCCGTTCTTGACGTAACGAGCTTGGAAGGCATCTTCGTCGTTCTTGGCGAATAAGCGCATCTGTTGTTTGAAAGACATGACAAAGGGGAGAAAATTTATTGGACATCAAAATAAAAAGAGATTCCTCGTCCATATAATGTTCTAAGATTTTATTTCAAATGTGATTAAATGAAACCTGTGAATATCGGATATTTACTACATAAAGACCATTTATTTTGCAATCAATTCAAAAACCTTATAATCATAGAACTTTTCTCTAAATAATCATGTAGTGTATCAAGTTTAAAGAATACAATTCGAAGCTCTTTGAAACCTAAATTTAATTCGCCTATAATATGAAGGTCTTTCATAAAAGTAAGTAGAAAATGTATGGCATCCATAATGATAATGAGTAATAGCAATAATAATAATATGCCTCGTTTACCCAGAGTTAGCCTCATCAGTATAAATAGTGTCCTTCATTAGGGCCCTGTAATCAGATTATTAATTTTCTCTGATCAATTACAATAATTGTTATCTTTGCTAGTGACCAGTTAAGTACCTTATCAACCCGCGTCATGGCTCGACCGTGGTTGTCAAAAGATAATAATGAAATGAAATCAATATTTAAACAACAGACTCTTTGTCTCTGACAAGGCAACATGCACAGGCGTTACCTTCCGTGTAGAGGAGGAACGATTCGTTCAATTATTCAAAAAGAAACTGTGAGAAATATCACCATAGACCTTGATCGTCCATCCATCAATTCATGAAACGAAAACCCCGACCTTTTGAAATATTGATTTATTACTGATTTAGTATTGATGATTACCAACAACAAAAAAAAGGCTGTCGATAATGAATTGAAATTTCGTTGTGCTGGCTTTTGTTTTGTTTTGCTTTGTCTTCTTTCTTTTTTTGTCATTGAAAGACTTCGTCCAATACCAGTAAGTACATAATTTTCCAGTTAGATTTTTGTTGGGGGTCAGTTCGTGGTCACATGCCGGAGAAATTAAGTGGATTATTTTGTGATATGAGGCGGTTGGTAATACCCCAGTCACACCGTTAAAAACCGAGTTCAGACTGACTCCAAACCGACCGACTCTCGGGTATAGATCTAATGTAATATTGTCGTTTGATCTGTTGTCGGTCTGGTGTTGGTCTTTTCGGTGTGACTAAGGTATAAGATATAGCTACTAAACATACAAGCAGTGGTAAACATCATTTGACTTTGATTTTGAAAATAAAACGCATGTCATTTTCCTTAGTCACATTGAGCGATTACAAGTTACCTAGAACTTAATCCCAACGACACAAATAAAAAGGTTATGCTCAATACGGTCATTCGCATTCCTTGAACCAAACACAAATAGGACCTTAAGGTAATGATTGGTGAATGAGAAGAATGATCATGTAACTTCACTCTTCCGATACACACGGGTATCATTTGAATTGCGTAATACCTGCAATCATCTAGCCCGTTCAGACAATTGGCCTATTCATTACAGAAATTAAAAGTAATGTTTGTGCTATTTATTTTCAATTTACTCTTTTATACTGTGTCACCTTTGCATGGTGCGTCAAAGAACACGCCAGTCATTTACGCAGACCCAAGTCAGTAAAATGACGCCTCTTGTGCATCAGACTTGACTTGGTCAATGAGCCTCCCTAGTATGCAGACACAAACGTATTGTCAGTCGTAGTGCAAAACATAGTAGGAACTTTTATATTGAGTGGACGAAAACGGCGTGAGGGTCCACTGTTCATATACGTGTCCATGGCAAGCCGTCTTAACATTTATTCCTATTTCTTGATATCAAGAAATGATTTTATGTTGTAAAGCAATGGTAATTCTTGATATCAAGAAATGATTTTCTGTAGTAAAGCAATGGTAATTCTTGATATCAAGAAATAGGAATAAATGTTGAAAACGGCTTGCCATAGACACGCATGATCAGTGGACGTTCACGCCGTTTTCGTCCACTCAATCTAAAAGTCCCTAGTTTCTGAACTAAGAGACTTTGCCGACTACAAACTCTACTGCACCCCACTATAAGTTGATTCTGACAGGTTTAATATATGCTACCTTGACGCTACCAGAGCTAGGCTCGACTCAAGACAAGATTCGAATTAGAGTATGTGCCTTCAGATTGGCGCCGCGCTTATTTAAAGGGACAATTGAAAAATTTAGAATCACGTACCTTACTTTCATCGAGTGTCCAGGGATAGAATGTAAGGACACACAACTGGCTATCAAATGGGTAATACTCGATGTTCATCTTGCACGCACTGGTTGTGACTGCTGGAAATAGCCAGTCCATCGCCCCAGTGTGTTGGACTATCACAAATGTTTCAGCCTCTGGAAGGCTGATGAAATCACGGTCCACGCTAAAAAAGGAATGTAATTTTGAAATAAATCTAAGATAGGAAAAGGAGATTCAAGTGTATGACAAAATAATGCCAAAGCAACAAATATTGTCCGAGGATATCAGGCGCGGATCCAGGATTTCTTAGGGGGGGGGGGCCCAAATTTGAAATTATGCGAGCCAAATCTTGGTACGTTATGGTGACCAACAGTGACGTAATGCGGGGGGGGGGGGGTCGGGGCGAGTTTCCCCCTCCCAGGCTTTGACGTTTCATTATATTATTAGAGAAAGAAAACGATCCTTTGTACCGTTCTCGAAAATAATTCTCGTCTAAATTTAGTTTTTCCCCTCCCGCGCAAAGCGCGGAAAATTTTACGATTTATTAAATTATTAGGGAAAGAAGACGATTCGTTGTACAGTTCTCGACTCTTAATCCTTGTCTAAATTCAGTTCCTCCCCTCCCCCTCCTTCGCGAAGTGCGGAAGCTTTGACGTTTTATTAAACTATTAAAGAAAGAAAACGATTCGTTGTACCGTTCTCGACTCTTAATCCTCGTCTGAATTCAGTTCCCCCTCCTCCCGCGCGAAGCGCTGAAGCTTTTACGTTTCATTAAATCATTAGATAAAGAAGACGATTCGTTGTACTGTTCTCGACTCTTAATCCTTGTCTAAATTCAGCCCCTCCCTCTCCCCTCCTGCGCGAAGCGCGGAAGCTTTGACGTTTTATTAAACTATTGAAGAAAGAAGACGATTCGTTGTACCGTTCTCGACCCTTTATCCTCGTCTGATATCAGTCCCCCCCCCCCTCCCGCGCGAAGCGCGGAAGCTTTTACATTTCATTAAACCATTAGAGAAAGAAAACGATTCGTTGTACAGTTCTCGACTCTTAATCCTTGTCTAAATTCAGTTCCTCCCCCTCCCCCTCCTGCGCGAAGCGCAGAAGCTTTGACGTTTTATTAAACTATTAAAGAAAGAAGACGATTCGTTGTACCGTTCTCGACTCTTAATCCTCGTCTGAATTATGTCCCCCCCCCCCCCCCCTCCCGCGCGGAGCGCGGAAGCTTTTACGTTTCATTAAATCATTAGAGGAAGAAAACGATTTGTTATATAGTTCTCGACTCTTAATCCTTGTCTAAATTCAGTTCCTCCCCCTCACCCTCCTGCGCGAAGCGCGGAAGCTTCTACGTTTCATTAAATCATTAGAGAAAGAAGACGATTCGTTGTAAAGTTCTAGACTCTTAATCCTCGTCTGAATTCAGGTTCCCCCCTCCCGCGCAAAGCGCGGAAGCTTTTAATCTTCATTTAATCATTAGAGAAGAAGACGATTCAGTGTACCGTTTTCGAAAATAATCCTCATCGGAATTTAGTTCCCCCTCCATCCCGCGCCAAGCGCATAAGCCTTTACGTTTCATTAAATAATTAAAGATTCGTATTACCGTTCTCGCCTCTGAATCCAATTCAGTCCCCCCCCCCTCCTCCCCTCCTGCGCGAGGCTTTGACGTTTTATTATTAGAGAAAGAAAACGATGCGTTGTACCGTTCTCTATACTCTTAATCCTTGTCTGAATTTCAAAGATGTTCTTTGTCTGCTCCTTTTTCTTCCTACGTCCTCTTCCGATTGGGGGGGGGCCGCCCCCCCCCCCCCTGGCTACGCGCCTGCGGTCAGATAAACACATCTTGATACCTTGTCCGACCCCGCAAGCTCAGGGGTTTAAGGCAATAAATTACGGTCAGATAAGCATTCAGGGGCCCGCCTTAGGGCCCCTGGTGGGGTCGAGGCGGCGGAGCCGGCCCCGGAAGCTCAGGGGCTTTAGGCGTTTAATTAAGGTCAGATGAGCATATTTTTGTGTATACCTTATTATTTTGTGACACTGGCAAGTCACTATTTGGCGTTGGGTCCAGGGGGCGGAGCCCCAAAAAATCAGGGGTTTTAGGCATTAAATTACCGTCAGATGATCATCTAAGGGCCCGTCGTAGGGCCCTAGATGGAATCCAGGGGGCAAATCACCCGGAAGCTTAAGTTTTAGGCATTTAATCACGGTCAGATGAGCATATTTTGATGCCTCGAGGCTCTCGATCCCCGCCGTACGTCGGGCCCTGACATGTAGGAATCTCAAGAATCATATTTTTTGCCTGGTTGTAAATTTAGGAATTTTTTTATTTTCCAACAAACACATACAAACGTATAATTTACTAAAAAGTGAGGAAAAATTTCGGAAATTATGTCATTCAGCATTATTTGTAATACACCGTTGTGGAATCAGAAATAAACCACATTTGAATTTGATTTCCCCCAAGCCCCCCCCCCCTCTATCAGTACGCCAGTATCTCCTCTTTTCCTTTTTTTCTTTCCCTTTCCTTCCTTCTCTCTTATTTTTTTTTGATCGGGGGGGGGGGGGGAGGGGGGTGGGGGGTTAACAGCCTGGGAGGCAAGGCCCTTTCGGCCCCCCCCCCGATCCCCTTCTTCCCCCTTTACTTTTCTTCTTCCTCTTCTTTCTTTCCCTTTTTCTCCTTTTTCCCTTTCTCCCTTCTTTTCCTTCTTCTCTCTTTCTCTTTTTTTTTTTTTTTTTTTTTTTTTTTGCGGGGGGGGGGGGCCAAGGCCCGCTCGGCCCCCCCCCTGGATCCGCGCCTGGAGGATATACATTTTTCAACATTGTCACATTCTTAAAATGACCGAAACCCTACCTCTATAGAAAACCTCACCCTCAAAAAGTGACTTTACTTATTCTGAGAGATTTAGTATATTCTTGCCTATTAATCTACAGGATTCCCTACTAAAGTGTATGAGAGAGGCATAAAGCAAGAATAATGTACAGTTTCTCAGCACGACATGGGCATTTTATTGATTGCATGGCGTACTATGTGAAGTCAAGTCAAGCAAATGTATTCAAATTTACGGATGTCTCCTTCCGAGGTGTGTGTGGTGATGAAGCAATTTATTCACCTGCTATCATCCTTTGTACTGTACTACGATTGCCAGAACGCAAATTGCATTAACAAGTTGGTGCTCTTCTGGGGTGAAGGTTTCTCATAAATGATATAGATTTGTCAAGTGCAATATTTTAGTATTTTTAGATGAATTAGTTACAAATTATTAGTCCCCTGTTATATATTTTTCACCAAAAATAATTTCTATCATCTCAGCTTTGATGTTTTCCTCATTGAAAAGTAAAGGTTTTGTTACTGATTTTAAAAGTCTTTCCAACTAAAGCTTTGTGCATGATACATGTCCAACAATACCTGTTAGGTCACATTTTCAGGAAAACGGCTGCGCCTATGTCATGTTATAAGGCATTACATCATGCCAAGAATATATTTATTTAAATATCTCCTGTACATTTTCGTAAGGAATGTTGTACATAACACTATTATTTGGCGCGGGTTTCCTTTAACCTGTCTTTAGCTAACCCTAACACAATTCTTAAGGTTTTGCAGAAATAAAGCCGGGAGGAAATATTTCCTGAGCTTATGCCAGATCATCGGAGCTTCAGGGAAGAAAAGGAGAGTGTGAAGAAGAGGGGGAAAAGAGATACAAGACATGCCCCCCCTTCCATCCTCTTTGCGAAATCCGTCCCTTGGCCAACGAATGAAATTGCACCCCCGTTTAAATGAATCTACTTAACTTATGTACCCTCCCCCCTCCTCTCCCCCTCCCCTAGATATGTTTTTAATACCACTCTTTACATGGATTAGATACACAGTACTGATAGTCCCTGAATAAAAACAGCAGATTGGTAAGGATAGATTGGTGGTGCACATAAAAGGCATTTAAATAAATAACGGTTTCAAAAGGAAAGAATATTATTACAATGCACACAGATGAAAACGACTTTCATAAAAAGAAAGTGAACACCGAATATTATGACGGTGCATGACAATAATCAGATTGTTTCGATTTGCAAGATTAATCGCCTGATTGATTTACCATGGTTACGTTGCAGAAATACCATGATAGACTATAAAATATTAAATAAGTACATAAATAATTTTACTAAATAATTTATTCAAGGGTTGATTGAAATTTAAAATTTAATTGAATCGAGAATGTTTTAACAAGACATATAGCTCAAAACCTAATCCTGGTTGATTACAACATTTAAAAGGTTGGGGACAAAAGTAAGATCAACGTAATGAAATGAAACACATCGCAACATAAGAACGTTGAAAAGCAGATTAAGTACATAAATACATAATCAAACCAATCAATAAATAATGACATAAATGAATTAATAAATAAATGAATGAATAAACAATGTCCTTACTCTTCATCGAGAAATATATCGGGTCTCCATACTTGATGCATTTTCAGTGTGAGGTTATAGATGCCACCGTTCTCCTCTGGGTCCCATTGCAAATACTCATCTACCCATTGCTGTTACCATGAAAACGTTAAACAAACAACATGAAAGTGACCGGTGACCTGTGAACATTGCAATACGTTAACAATTCTATAAATAATTACTTGAAACGAAACACCTGTATTGATTATCGTATACGACAGTTTTACTTTCTTTCTCTCATGCAGGTTGTCGTCTTGCGTTTTTTTTTAAACGGCATGCAGTCAGATCGTGTGGTCTTTATGATCTGTTCAGTTGGAGTGCAGGTCCATCCTCGAGCATACAAACATTCAAGATTGTTTACACTTATTTTGAATTAGCCTTTGAACATAAAACAGTCATTTTGTATAGACAATATCATAGGCGTTATAGGCGGGGTGAGGTGGGATGGGGCGGGCTCGGAGCTGTGCCCCCTCCCCCATATTGATAAGAAGTTTGAAAGTACGTGTACCGAATTTCATGCATGATAGTTACCTTGTATTATGGACAACTGTTTATTCAGTAACGAAGCGTCTATTTCTGTATCCATAACGTATTGTATATTTTTTGTTTGACAAAATTCCATTTTTGTTGTCTTTGTTCTTTTTGTTTGTTTAAGTGTTTAATTTTGTTTTTTCGCAAGCTTGATTCGGTCCCTCGCAAACTTGACGCCACTTCTAATAATAGGCCTACTGTACGCGCTTTGGTAGTTCTTGTTATTATTTATTATTGCCTTATCATTATTATTCTTGTTATTGATATTTTTAATCAAAATTATTACGAATATGAGTAGTAATTTTATTGCTATTAATATTATGATTATGATTATTATTAATAGACTGTTGAACTTGAGAAAATGAACAGTTAATATTCGGGCAAGAGGGGTCAGCATGAACTAAACGTATGAATTTTTCGGCATAGATTTCAGGAAGAAGCCAATGGAAATCTAGTTGCGTGAAGAAAAAGAAAAAAAAATCGGTTTTCTTACCAGCCGCATATTGGTACGAATGTTCACAATCTGCCGAGTTTCATCCTGCGTGAGAGAGAAACGGAGAAAGATAGAATATGAAACAACCATTGTGGCCAAAGGAACGATGGGGAGAAAGAGACGAAAATAGAGAAGTAGAGATAGAGAAACATGGGGAGAAGGGAAGAGAGATAGAAAGGGTGATAGAAAAAGAAAGAGAGAGAGAGAGAGAGAGGGGGGGGGAGAAAGAGGGATGATTAAATAAAACGATGGAAGGAGGTTTTGTGGAATAGTATAATTTTCAACCTAAAAAAAACCGCAGACAATCAGACAATTTATATTATAGTGCAATTCCCAAAAATAGACCTACCACAAATTTTAATGAATATTTCATGAATTAAAAATCAGACAATTTGTACAAAGCAATTTCAAAAATAGACCAACTACAGAATTTAATGAATTGAGAATCAAAACACAAAATGAGAGATAGAAAATAGACTAGCGGACTAGTTAAAAGATATACATGTATAGTACAAGTTATGGTCAGTGGAAAAACACAGCCGTGTATTACGTATACACCAAAAATGTAAAATACAAGTACTTCAATGATTCATTTCCTCCTAAATACTCCGAAGAAGAGTTTTGACTGGAAGTAGTGGAGGGTGGACGATTACATTTTGGAAAAAAGTTCTTTAGTAACTGCATTTTTAAATGAAAGCGGAGGGGAAGGGGGGTTGGTTGATGTTTGTTTGTTGTAGGTTGTTCCATATTGCTCCGGTTGTCTCATTTTCGCTCGCTGAACCATTGCCAGCACAAACGAAGCTAGTTCGACGGCACTACCAAACTAGAATGTTCCACTATGTTGCAGTGTGTATACAGGCGCGGATCCAAGGGGCGAGCGGGCCTTGGCCCCCACCCCCCGCAAAAAAAAAAAAAAAAAAGAGAGAGAGAGAGAGAGAGAAGGAAAAGAAGGGAAAGTGGAGAGAAAGGGAAAGAAGAAAGAAGAGGAAAAAAGTAAAGGGGAAAAAAGGAAGGAGATCGGGGGAGGCCGAAAGAGCCTTGCCCCCCAGCTGTTAAATTAAAGCATTAAAAAATACCGTCCAGGGCGGACCCTGGACGGTAATTTAATGCTTAAAACCCTTGAGCTTCCGGGGACTCCGCCCCAAGCTGGTTAAATTGTAAAAATAAGTGTTGAAATGCACGTTACGATAAAAACAAGCTGATTATTAAAATTGATAAGTATGACACAACAAGAAGAAAAAACCCGACCGTTATGCACAATCACTCGATTGGATATCGAGCCTCATCATAATCAATAACACCACCGCGTCACACTTTAATGCTTTCACTTTGGTAGAATAATGGATGACATCGTGTTTTCCAGAACGTCGGTACTTTCGAAGGTTCGTTTATTCGAATTCTGAGAATAAAATAGGGTTCAGTACTCTGGACGAGGTTTGCAATTGTGAAAAAGGAAAACTCTCCCTTTTTCGGAAGAAAGAACCCTATTTCATCTCCCGACTTATCATTATAAGCATTTGAAATGACGAGCATCCGGAGAAACGCACCTTGGAATTGTGAACCGTAGGAATAAAAAATCTTTCTGATTATTAAATCTTGAGAATTATGTATCTCCGAGATAATGAACTTTCGGAATCATAAAACTTCGACAAAAAATTGAATAAATTCGGTTTAGTACCGAGTACCGAGAAGATTACATTCAGGCTAACCAAGTTGATGAGTCATTTTAAACATCATGTTGGTTATCATATTATCCCGACTAAAACTTTCTTCAAAATCAAGCACTGCCATGTCGTTGGTGATATTTTTGTTGGCAAGGTCATTTGTTGTGAGGATGAGCTGAGATTCGCACGAGCTGTGTTTCCTGAAGGCATGTTGATTTCCAGCCAGGATGTTATGCTTGGCCAAGTGTCGCATCAGGTAATACTGTCTTTGATGTAATACGCATAGGGCATTGGCATATATCAATTTTGAATGTAACTGACTGTATTACCATCGCAGGTTTCTGAGTTATACATTTGCCACATTGCTTTTTCAACATTTCCTTTTCTATATAATCAACACTGACTTATACCCATTATGTAGTCGACGAGAGAAGTACAAAATACCGACAACGAGATGGCCTGCAGATTAGGAGAAGTAGTAGCAGTAGTAAAAGTAGTGGTAGTAGTGTAGTAGTAGTAGTAGTAGAAGTAGTGGTAGTAGTAGTAGTAGTAGTACCAGAAGTAATAGTAGTAGTAAAGTAGTGTATAGTAGTGGCAGTAGTGGTATAGCTTAGTATTAGTAATAGTCGTCGTCGCCGATGTGGCCTGTAGTTCAGGAGGAAAATATGTAGCAGTAGACCTAGCAGTATTAATAGTAATAATAGTAGTAGGTTAGGGTTAGGGTTAGGTTAGTCGTAGTAGAGTGTTAGTAGTAGTATTAGTAGTATTTTGTACCCGGGGGGGGGGGGAGTACTCACGTTTGGTCTGGACGGGGGTGTGCCGCTAAAGCCTCGAAACCCCTACTCATTTTAAGGGTCATTTAGTCCGGGGGGTTCTCGAAATAAAGTCCAACATTTTCGAAAAATTTGAAAAACGGACACATGTTTGGGGATATTTTTGTTTAAAATGGGACCCATGTTTAGGAATTGTTTGTGAATAAGTGACCCATTAGAGCGGCACACCCCCATATGTATTTATATGTGAGTATCTCCCCCCCCCCCCGGAATTTCATCTTAGTAGTATAATTTGTTAATTTAAAAAATGAATACTACTTTTTTTTTGTTTTTTGTAGTGATCAGTGGAGTTAAGCGCGGGCCCAGACATAAAGGGGCTCAGACATGGGGAGATGAGGGGGGAATCGGTTTTTCAAAAGGGTTTTTCGTCATATTTTGTTGCCGGGGGGGGGGTTGTTGTTTTATTGTTAGTTCTTTTACCTTACCTTCTCTCTTTACCTTTGAAATTTTCCCTTTTATTTTCCTCTTTTTTTCCCTTCATTTATTAATTAATTAATTTAATTTTTACTATTGTTTTTTAAATATTATTTCAGTTTGTTATTATAGTTTTTGTTTACAAATCAATAGGCGTGGGGCACGTACCCCCTGTATCTACGCATTCAATATTGATTTCGCGATTTCCTTTTATCATACAAATCATAGGCCTATATTATTGTGTCTGAAACATGAATTATTATTCTGTCCTCTAATTTATAAATGATATAAATTGTTTATGTTAGTGCTGACAGCATGTTCCGGTCACGTGGTCGAACTCTAGACATATGCCATTAGGCCAGAAGCTTGACCTCATGATTGTTTATATTCTGTCTCCATGTCAAGGACCTTCTCGGTGTATACAAGTTGATTCTTACGGGTACACACAATTTTAGTTTACGGTTAAGGTCAAGCGGTACTCGATTTTAGACCATGCATTTTCAACTCTGTTTATACCAGTACAAGTAATATCAAAAGTTTATGAATGTCATGTTCTCAGTTTTCTTCATAGATTAGATATATGCAACAACAAATTGGTTTGATAGCAGTTTGGTTCGTTATAATACAGTTGGGCTGATACAACTCCTTTAGTCTGTAAGCTCTTACATTAAACGTAGCAGAGTTTGAATAATTTGTATTTACGTGTAGTTATAATAAACCTTTGTGTAGTCAGTTGCATTTAAATTGTTTAGTTATTGTATTTGTGTCTAATAAGCCTAAAGTTAACTCTCAAGTAAGTATGGTCCTATCAAGTAATTTATACACTGTATATTTCTAAGGCACTAAGTATTAGAACAGTCGATACTTTCTACAACTTACAAGTATGAAGTTATGAGAAATGCATTGTCAAAACTCAAAAGGGTATGATTTTCAATCTAAAAAAAGGGAGGGATATTGTGTCTGAACTATGAATGATTATGCTGTCCTCTAAATGATATATATTGTTTATGTTTATGCTGACAATATGCTTTGGTCAGGTGGTCAGAAGCTTGACCTCATGATTTTGTATATTCTGTCTACATCTCAAAGACATTCTCAGTGTATTAAAGTTGAGCATGTCAATAAATGGTCACTTGTATGCCCAGACCCCATACAGACTTACGAGTACACAAAATATGTGTTGCATAATGTTTAGCATCATAATAATCAATATGTGAACTGATGGTACAAGCAAGCAAGAAGTGAGATTGCATTTAATTTTAGTTTGCTAGGCAGCCATGATAAGCATGATAAACGTGACATAAAAATGATAGGTTTATCAATCTAAATATTCGTCGCTGTTTTCACGGTAGTGAGGAAAATCGTAATGCAAAGTGAATGCAATTTTTTTTCACTACCGTCACTTCGTGAAAACAGCGACGAAAAAACGAAAGTCTTGTCTTTCCCACATTCCTCGTCCTTCCTCATGTTCCTTTTTCAATTTTCTTTCTTTAATTTTCATGTTGTTGTCACCATGGACTCCCATTATGAAGCATTCAAATATCCAAAGGCCTCTGATATTAAGTTGGTTTTAATAGAACCGGAATTTTTTTTTAAAAAAAGAACAGGGGGGCGTTTCATGAAACAATTAGTCAGTGTTTTTCACCAACCAATATTATGTTCAAAGACAACTCTTTTGTCACCGACTATTTTCCAGGCCTGTGATTGGTCAAATTTAGTCAGCGCTGACTAAATTGTCGGAGAACATGATATTAGTCGGTAAAAACCACCGACTAATTGTTTCATGAAACGCCCCCTGGTCAGTAAAAGTCTGAGCAAGAAACGAATACAAATCAGAAAGTTATTAATTGTTGAAGGTGCGATCAATCTAACACGATCAAACACAATTTGCAACTCTGATACGCAACTCGCGACGTCCCCTCTCATTAGCCCTGTATTTAAAAAAAAAAAATCTAAAAATTATATTTTCCCTTGAGAAATTTTCAATCATAAATTCTATTACAAATATTTACCTCTATATGACACAAATCTATTCTGTTATCAATAACTGTGAAATGATAGTTTATGAAATGTTCTGTACAGAGCAAATTGGAGAGGAGCTCGCAAGAAACGTCAAAGTGTTGCCAAATTGTGTTCCACTGATGACAACTTCAAAAATGCATAACTTTCCTTTTTATAATCGGTTGTTGCTCCATCTTTTATTGACTGTTTCCGCTTATTTTCTGCTTTCATTAAAATCAACTTAATATCAAGATGGACTTTCCTTTAGAGATAATTTCTGTTTTGCCGCAATGTCAACGTGACTACGAACAATTCATCAGCACAGAGTGGAAATGACCATCTACGTTAGATCGTGACTTATTTGCTTGGTTAATGGCTTATTTTTGGTGTTGGCATAAAACGCCATTCATTATATTTTTTTCCCTCTCTATTTCTGTCTATCTCCGTCGTTTCTTACTTAGCAATATTTCTTTGCACATCAATGACGCAATGTCTTGATTTTTGTTTATGAAGTACATGTAGGATCAATTTTATTTTGTAACCTATTAATGTATTTATAAATTTCTACTATATCCACCATATGTGTTTCTCAAGATGTGATTTTTTGTATTCACTGAGTCTTATTAATGGAAAACCCACACGTGTGAACCCCAAAGAGTTGTGTGAAATATTCCAAAATCACCCACATATTTTCAGTTGATACTATAGCACTTCATTCCTATACATACGGTAAACTATCAAACAAACGCATACTAATTTCTGTCATTGCAAGGCTATGGTAGAAGCATTGCATACAGGTCGTACCCTGTAATTTCAAACACGCATCATTCTGCTAATTTGAAAAACTTCCAATATATTAAATTTTCTGCATTACAGGTGGAACCTCGCTCATGGTTCGTGCCATTTACTTACAATCGCTGTTCATGTGATGTCCCCGCTCTTACGAACATGAATTAAAAAAATACACTTAACCCAATCACATACTCGCATGAATTGTCACTCATAATTTGATTTCCTGCGTTCATGTTATGATCACCCGACTGTAACATAATTGGTGCTCAAAGACGGGGGCTCATTTTGACCCCCTTTCCACTAGGACAAATTTAATCTTTGAAGTGCCAGGTTCAATTCATCTACTCTGTAAATGGGGGCCTACAGGAGTGGAAATCCCACTCTTGGAGGAGTCATATTAGAAAGCACTTCGTTTTTTATTCGAAATCCAAGCTAAAAAAAGATATTCAGTGGAGTACATTCTCATTACTTAATTGAATGACTTGGTCGAACTTAAGTTGAGGCAACGAATATTAAAGGAAACCTCACCCTACGGAAATAACTTTACTTATTCTGAGAGATTTGTTATATTCTTGCCAATTAGTGTATGAGAGAGGCATAAAGCAAGAATATTGTACAGTTGCTCAGAACGACCGTGACAAGGGCATCGCCATTTTCTTGATCATGTGAAGTCATGTATCAAGTAAATGTATTCAAATGTATGGATGCTTCCTTCCCAGATGTATGTGATAATTGAAGCATTTCATTCACCTGCTATTATGCTTTGTACTATGATAGGCTATTTTCGTAATGTAACCAAATTTAATGCATATGTCCTTGTTAAGTGCCTCGATACAAATTATTTCTTTCACCCGATAAGAATAATAGTATATATATAGACAGAATCCGAACTACATAATTACATTAGATGTTGCCAGGTAGGAACACTTAATATAATAATAATAATAATAATGGTGGCTTCTTGTATAGCGCACATGTCCGTCACGTTGTGACGCTCCTGCACTAATTATTACCCTGGCTTTAGCAAGGCAGCCACTGCGGCGATCTAGCATTTCAAGGAATTAATTCCTGCCAGGTACCCATTTACATCACCTGGGTTGAGTGTGGCAAATGTAGATCAATGTGTTGCCAAAGGACATTAGTGCCGCGGCGGGACTCGAACCGCGGACCTTAAGATCGACAGTCCGTCGACGTATCCACTCGACCACGACACCTGACTATTCTGACTATTGAAATATTATTATTCTTATCAGGTGAAAGAAATAGTTTATAATTGAGGCACCTCCTCACAAAGACTTATGTATTAATTTGATTACACGACGAAATGGCCTATTGCCAAAACACAAATTATATAAATAAGTTGGTGCTCTCCTGAGATGAAGGTTTCTCATAAAAGAAATAGATTTATCAACTGCTACATGTATATTTTAGTCTTTTAAATGAATTAGTTACAATAATGTTCACCTGTTATATATTTTTCACCAAATATAATTTCTATCTTCTCCTCGTTGAAAAGTAAAAGTTTTGTTGTTGATTTTAAAAGCCTTTCCAACTAAAGCTTGGTACATGATAGTACGTCACATTTTCAAGAATATGGCTGCGCCCATGTCATGCTAAAAGGCATTACATCATGGCAACAATATTTATTTATATATCTTTTGAACAGTTTCGTAAAGAATGTTGTACATCTAAGGACAAGAATACATTTCAATTTTCAGAATACGTACGCTTATATTCTTTGCGGTTAGGTTTCCTTTAAGTGCGTTGTCAAACACGTTAGATCCACACCAATCAAGTTCCGTTGTTAGGGCAACTGCATGTCGATCATAATGAGCCTAAGTGCACTGCTTCTCGGTCAATTGTTCTGGCTCAATCTTGACTCGACCGATTTATGATGGATATACAAACAAAATGATAGCCATAATTACTAATACAGACCCATTAGACCCCAGTCACACCGACAAGACTCACACCACGTCCAGAACAGACCGACCAACAACAAACATACCAAAGAATGAGCAAGGGTCGGTTGATTTGGAGCCCTTGTGGAGTTGATTCGGTGGTCAGACTGAGGTATTAATTAGATATATGGTACATCCACACCAATGACTTTGGGTGGAGTCATTTCCTCTTTTTTTACAGAGCATATTGCGTAACTTACCAGTTTAATGAGTTCATAAAGGAGCATCCTGAAGAAGACTACTACAGGCTGGGAATGATTTCTGACTGGCCGAACTGACGTATCACCATAGGACGACATGAGCTTCTCAACAAGCTCTTTCTCTGTGGCTATCGTGTTTGGTGGGGCTGCTGTAGTCATATTTTTGTCGGAAGCTTGAACTAGTGTTGAGAAAAAAGTCAAATGAAGAGTTCAATTTATAATTTTATTTACATCTGCCCAAATTTATATTGAGTATTACTTCTAATGTATTTTATCCTCTTTGAATCTCATCCGTCATATTTCTTTAAATTCATTCACATTTTCTGACAATACTATGCACAAAGTTACCTAAGTTATTATGCACTTCATTTTGACTCCTGTTTATAGGGCTGTCACGAGTTTGAATTGCAGGAAAGCAGAATAATCAGAGAAACATCCTCAACTCTTACCAATGTTAATTATAAGATTTTTAATTTAATTCTATTATATTTGTTTTTATCTTATTGTTTTATTGTTATGCTTATATGCTTAATCAAGGTGCCATGAAAGTCTATTTCTCTTCCAGGTAGCACAATACCAGGGGCTGTAAATTGATTATTATTATTTTTGTTTTAAATATTTTTTTAAAATATTTTTTATAGAGAGAGATGTTCAACATTACGTCTGTGATATTATCATATTGTTGATTTAAAATTTCATCATGAAAAGCAATGAATACTGAATTTCAAAGCTTTATGCTTTTCTCCAATTTTCTTTCAAGGTGATATTGCCCAATAACTTACTATTGGCTATGGCAAAAATCAATCGAAATTCTATCCACATTCTACCAGCGAGATAACCACGCAAATAATAATGGAGTGATGAATTCTCGACACACCCATCAATCACCTTGCTTGAGGAAAATGGATTATGTTTCATCATAATGCCATCAGAGATTGATCGATTTTATTTTGGAAAGGTGCAAAATTTATGATAATGATTTGAAATATTTCCTCGCCACCCTATTCTTAATAACATAATATGGTATACAATGTTATTAATCGTCCTATAATCACTCTAAAACGCCCACTTCGATAAGATTAACAGTAAATACAAATATGAAGCAGCACAAAATGAAAACGAGTTAATCACTACGATAAAACAAAAACACGTCAGAAGCTATTAGATTAAGAGCCAACATACCGTATATATAATCCCATTTGAGCGAAGGGACCTTCATAAAAAAAAAAATTAATTAATTATTTTCCTTTTCAAGACTGAAAGTTTATCATTAATACGGCTGTCACACCTCCAGAACTGGTTAATGAAATAAGCTAATCATGCGGAAGAGTAAATAGCAGTCGCTTAGATAGATGGGTGGTGCAAGCTTGGCGACAAAATTATATCAAAATAGATGACACCATTATCGTGGTAATGAATATTGTTTCCGTACACCTGTTTTGAGATGCAACTTCTCTCCCCGCAAATGTGCCCTCAAAGCAGGTTAGATAACACCTTTTTTTCAAATGTTAGCACAATATGGTTCTGATTTTAAAAATGATGAAAATTACATTTACATATCGTGGATATCTAAAACTATAGGTATGATATTATATATTATATCATTTTGGAACCTCCTAAAAAACATGTCATAGGGTCTACCCATGGACCTACATAGTCTAACTCATAGGCGGTCAAGGCCAGCGTATATTGGTAGTCCTATTCACTCTAAGAGATTGTCCCATCAATTAGATGATAAATAGAATGATAATGTAACGGATTTAGGCCAACAAAAAGTAGTTTATGTTTAAATAATGAGATTAAACCATACAGGTTTATATATCCGAACAGGAAACATAATGTGAAGAGGTGAACATGTTTTTTTTTTTCTTCAGGTCAACCTATACATTGAAACACATAATCCATTCGAAAATAATCAATGTATCAAACGTCAATTCATACATTCCCAATTATATTATAAGCAACATAATATTTCATACACAACCAATTTATTCGTCAAATGAGTCCTCTCTTTCTCTTATTTAAACCAGTACTTAATTTAATATTGATCGTAGAAGTAAATATCCGACTGAAATCGATATTGCCACATTGAATTACAGATTTTTTTCCTTCATAAATGATTTCCTAATCACTTAAACTTGCCCTCCATACATCGATCAAATTCCGTTCAATGCTGTACTTTAGAGTGGGTAAAACATACACTACTTCGGTTTAGATTGATTTTGTTCCACATTTCTTGCCAGAAAAGAGATCATAGATGGCTAAACGTTAAAAAGACAAAAGTAACAAGAAACACACAAACAAACAAAAACTCACCTGTTCCTAGATGCCACGACACCAAACAAGCGAAGACCAGGCAACTCGATAATATTTCGTTCAATGGAATCATCTTTTCCATTTTCCTGCCACCTGTTGCATGCCATCTGATAGTGGATATCATGGCGTCTATACTATCAGTGGCTCATAACCGTTAAGTAGGCTTAATTTGAAAGACGACACGCCTTAGAGTTTCTTGCGCGTCACATGAAATCAGAGTATAGGCCTATTATGTCGCAAAATGCGATTTATGAAATGTACTGGTATCAGCTCGCATAAACGCAGTTTCGTAAATCCAAACTGAAGTCCATCGGTACATCAATGTTATCGACGACAGAGAGATTGTTTCTCATCATTCGAGATTCACTTTCCCTTGCGTGCAAAGTCAGTTTTCATCACACAATAAACGAACGAACGAATATTCATAATCAAGACAACTGTCTACACGGGCAAAGCCAATTCTGACTTATCCCACCGATTAGATTATGGATTATACCTTGAGCGTGATGCGACACCGACGGAGTTCATTAAACCATGGACCTATCCATGATTAAACCATGTTCCCTCCATGATTAAACCGAGGAAGAAGAACAGCAAAATATAGAATTTCAAAACTCATTATGGCAACGCCACTTTTAATGCATCACGGCTGTTAATAATGCTTTTTACTATCGTATACATGGTAGTCTAAGCAATCGGTTGATCCTTTTGGATTGCAGTGCATGTACTGTCGTCGTCATCACCCTTTCCCAGCGGTTGAGCGGGCCAAATATACAAACCAAATAGATGAAAATGGTCAAGTCGTCTCCGCTCGATTCAAAGGCACCTATGAATATTTATAATTATCCGTCTAGTTTGTTTCATCGTCAATTTGATTTCTCTACCATTTCTGAGTTATGTGTTATATATATTAAATATTTATAATCAGTGGAATATGGGGAAACATGTACTGACCAATGAAATATTCAATGTATGTATACACACGTGTGCTCCCCCCCCCCCCCGAAAGCCCCTCCCCTCTTTTCCTCTCTGTCTCCCTCTCTTTTTCTGTCTCTCTTTGTCTCTCTCTGTCTCTCTGTCTGTCTGTCTCTCTCTGTCTGTCTCTGTCTCTACCCCCCCCCTCTCTCTATATTTCTCTCTCTCTCTCTCTCTCTCTCTCCCTTCTTGTCAGACATTGCTCATGACTCTGCCATAAAAGTTTGATAGTTTTGCTGTTGTCATACATGCACCTGGCCCTTGATTCTACAACCTTACGTGGCGCACGGCGTGTATATATCATGTACATTAGACTCTCGGAGAGGTGTTTGGCAACCGACATTAATGTATGAAAAATTGATATACACCTTTCATACTTGGGGGGGGGGGGGTTCGCCAAAAGTATACATGCATTTCTTTTCATTGCAAACCCGTTACACGCTATTAATAGCAGAATTTTGTTTTTTAAAAAGTTTAAACATACTTCTAAAGACGGATTATCAGAATCTTGCTTTTAATTCACTTTAGCCGTACGGAATCGACACAAACTAGTGGCAAATTCAATATTGAGAATGCTTTGACACACTGACACGGCAAAAAAAAATGTATACGTGATACAAAATGGAATATACAATGGAATATACATTTTCCAAGATCAGTTTACATGATACAGGTACAATATAACATGTTGAAGAATATCCCCCTCCCCTTCCCACCCTACCCCCACATACACATCATTTGAAGAAGAAAACAGAATTTGGATGTGAATTAACATGCTTCCCCTTTTCTATGATACCATTGATTTATATTGGTATACTTCAGATTGCCCAAAGTTATAATTTCAAAACAAGACATCTGGCATAGTTGTCTGTCAACTGGTTAAGTAAATAAGTTTTCACTCGTTTTCATGCTATTGAAAGCTCGTTAACGCAGCAACACAATCTCATTAGAGTAATATATGGAACTTGAACACATTTTCATTATCTAATTGTAAATAGTGACTCGTTTAACGAATAATTTCGCTCGCATTTTCAGGTAATGTAATCTGACTTAAATCTATTTAATTGCTAAAATACCACAGCAACACAATCTCATTAGAGTACTCTAATACATTATAGCAATTAAAAAGATTCAAGGCAGATTACATTACCTGAAAATGCGAGCAAATTATTCGTTAAACGAGCCACTATTTACAATTGGATGAATGAAAATGTGTAAAAGTTTCACTTATATCATAAGATGAACTCTGATATATCTTATTTTTGTATTTATTGAGAAATAGTCGACTTTATATCATTGCTATTGTTAGTATATAAACTTATCATTACTATATTTTGAAAAAGTCAATAATCTGAAAATTTACATAATGTACTGATAATAATGTTTATATATTTAGGCTCATTTTCGAAAAGTTATACAGTAATATAAATGCCATGTGACAATCTCAGGGAGGCGTAACATTGAATAGAGGACATTTCTGAAAAAATATTTGGTTATATAGCTGGTTATCAAAGAGCGAGAGAAAAACACGTATTCAGTGATGATGCGTGGTGTATAATGGGGATTGGGAATCTGTGCTTTTGGGTAGAGCAGACTTTAGTAGAAAGGGAGGAATGTGGAGATATTACTCTTTTCAGGCTAATTTCAATAGATCTTTGTGCATAGTTCTATTTTGGACTATTATAGTGGTGTTCAGGTATTGGCAGTATATTGTATAAACATAATAACATTGTCGGGGCTCATGTGAAGTAATGTATCCTTTGCAAATGTACACATCCATAAATGCACTGTGTTAATAAAATGTATGATACAGGACTTGTAATTTTAGCTGGGGGGGGGGGGGGAGTTTGAAATCATATACTTTTCAGAATTCAGAAAATTATTGATTTCTCAATTTCTCACAGATATCGGTTTAATATTTTAATATCTTATTGAGAGCTCGGATGGCTAAGATTACATTGTAATCAAACTTACAGCTCAACTTAAATTTACTTGGATGCTTACACATGTATACGTGTTCAATTACAATTGTGTGGTATTTATCACATATAAATACTAATTTAACATCGATGATGGTCACATCTACAACGAAATTTTATGGCAAAATGAGCAGATTCTCATAGCTGAGAGTGCTAGATTACAGATCTGTATCATTTGACATTGTTTGTTATTCTGCTTGTTTTTATATTTTGTATTGATTAGGCGGATTTTATTTTCTTATTAGTTCATTTTTTACTGTCTGTAAGTCGATTAATTCTTTTATGGTTCACTTCTTTAGCATGCTATTCCAGGGTGATGGCCATAATAAAAAAAAACACATCGTGACTTTACTTCAGATGACTCAAATTTTTATCATAATCAATCATGCATCTAAATTTATTAGATGCTTACAACTTGTTTCATGTTGTTAAAGTTCAATTTAAGTTTTTCCTAGAATCCCAATGTTTCTTGATTTGTTACCATGGCAACCACTCGGCATCAATCTGGTTTGATATACAGGGAATCACAAAAGGGCCAAAAACTATTTAACTTTCGAAAAACGAGTGTAATAGTAAACGTGAAAGGTTATATACATGTAATTTTAAAATTATTAACTGTATGATGGATAAAATATGAATAATAAGATTATCTTTTTTTTTTGGTGGTTATAAGTTTCCTTTTGCCCCTACTTTTGTCTTAATATTCGTATCATCTTTAGGCCAGATGACACAGAAAGTGAAGCTCATTTATCTTTGGGACTTTGGTGGCTGACTTCAATACCAAACCTTTCTCCTTCAGGAAATCTTGAATGCGCTCTCTTCCCCAGAGTGTTCCCAGGCCATGACTGTCTTCAGGCTGGTAGGCTTGTGGTAGGCAGTAAAACAGACTAATTGTGTAGACTAATGGCGCCGTTGTATTACCCACGTTGTCACCGACTTTAGATCCGAAGTCAAACTCTATGATAGACAGGGTTCCATCTTTCTTCATCACCCGTTTGACATCGTCGATCAAAAGATCGGGTCTGGATGTGTCATGCAGCATGTTGAAGAAGAAGGCGTGGTCGAAAGTCGATGCCCAGTCGCTCGGCATCACCGAGCCGTCGACGCGAAAGTACGATACGTTCTTTAGTCCCAGGCGAGTCGCTTCTGCGTTAGCCTCATCCACCATGCTCTGGGCGATATCGACACCAACGAAATGGCTTTCGGGGAACTTCTTAGCCAGGATTTGGGTTGCTAGGCCAGCTCCGCATCCAACATCCAGCATCCGAATCCCCATTTCTGCCATCAAGAAAAATTCCACTAATCAAAACAACTCAATAGACAATGACTATAAATACAAAGCGTTCTATAAAGTCATCTTCTATACAAAGAATATGACAAAAACATGAATAGGTCTAAAAATAGAGTGTTCATATCGGAAAAAAAGATCAGCCGGAGGATGAAACCTCCTAAGAAAAATATTTATATGAAGAAATATTATATTAAGGTCTAGAGAAAGCCCGACAACATTCACAAAATTGTTCAACGTAAAACGTACACGTAAGTTTGACCCGTATCTGCTGCATGCAGCACACACTTGAAACAAAGAAATTGACACCAATTTATATTTGAACAAACTTGGTGTTCGATCATTCGTAAAGTAAAGGCATGAATAAAATATGACTGGTCAGAAGGAAAGCTTTTCTTTACATGTAATACATTGTAAATTCATAGAGTAAAGTCAAATCAATCGAAACTTAAGGTTTCACTTGAAAGTACAGGACATACGACTTTACTTCTTTATTTTACTCAATATTACGGTATAAACGTTCCCAGGGGTTCTGTAGCCCCACCTAGGGTCCGCTCCCTCTTCTTCAGGACCGCTATTCATAATTTGAGAAAAGTGTCATAATGTATGGGAAGTACCACGTTACGAATAGCGGTCCTTGCAAATAGCGGTCCTTATGACTAGCGAGTTAATACCCACCCACAGCCCATCTCCACGAGTACTCGGCATGTTTGACATCTTTGAAGTCATGTCCGAAGGTCAGTTCCTCGTACGTAAAGGGTTATTACTCATCTATTCGACAGTTGTCATCAGTCTGAATCCACGACCTTTCCTTACCATATAAAGTGTCAATTCAATACTAGTTTATTGTTTCTGAAACATTTCTGAAACTTTCTCCCCATGATACCTAGCAAATCCTCACAATGCATGTGCGGTTCAGCTTACCCAGTTTGGCCTGGATCTCCGGGTAGGATGGAATGAATTCCTGTACAAGAGTGTCGGTGTACCAGGCCCGTAGATAGTTCTTGTCGAATTCATGGAAAGGTTCGATAGTTGATTGCGTATGTCCTGCAAGATATTACGAGATAGGGCGGGTGACTTACTTCGTTCAATCGGATCACCGCGTCGGATCGGGTTGTCGGTTTACATGAACTTTCGTGAAAATAGACTCGTGTATTTACGAAAGATCGGGTACTTCAAACTGTCGGGCAACACGATATTTTGAGATAACATTCCCATATATTCACGAAAGGTCGGGTAATTTGAATGCTTATAATCACAATTATTTACAAGATGGTTCTTGACGTATGGATACTCTTTGTACATGTACTTTGTGAAAACATGCCCATACTTTCATACATGACGAAGTGTTGATCGTTGTCTTTTTTACAAACTCTTGAGACTATTCATCTCGTATTAAAAAGTGTCGGGTCGAGACACTAGTTTTCTTAGATTTGCTCTAGGTCTATTTTGAAAGCGTCGGTTTAACTGGACCCAACACTTTGGCCCGGCGCGGATCCAGGGGGGGGGGGGGTGGCCGAGCGGGCCTTGCCCCCCCCCCCCCCCACAAAAAAAAGGAGAGAGAGAGAAGGAAAGGGGGGAAGGGAAAGAGGAGAGAAAGAGAAGAAAAGAAGAGGAAGAAGAAAAGAAAAGAGGGACGAAGTAGATCGAAAGGGGGGGGGGGCAAAAGGACCTGCCTCCCAGGCTGTTGCCCCCCCCCCCCCCCCCCAAAAAAAAAAAAAAATTAAACATGGGTTATTTTTAATTTGATACCAGTGATTTACAAGTATTGCTAAAATGGCAGTATTTTTCCATGAGCTCCCGGGGGCTCTACCCCCTGGAACCCACCAAGGGCCCTAAGGCGGGCCCCTGTTTGCTCATCTGGCCGTAATTAAATGCCTAAAGTCCTTGAGCTTTCGGGGGCTCTGCCCTCTGGACTCCACCAAGGGGCCTAAATGCGGGTCCCTAGATGCGTAATTTGGTGCCTAAAAGCCCTGACCTCTTCTCTTCCGTTATATATTTCTTTGTCTTTCTTTCTCCATATCCTCTGCACTCTCCTTATGTATTTTTTTGTTTTCCCTTTTCTATTACCTTCCCTTCCCTGGGTATACGTGCTTGCACCACCAAGCTGAATTTACTTCAATACCCATATAGAACACGAATCAACAAAAAAACCTTGTACTTATAAACTTTTCCAGGTCATGTACATGGTCTATGGTACCGTCTACTGGACTATTTAATGAATCGTCATGTATAGCTTCCGCGCTTTGCGGAGGAGGGAGGGGGAAACTCGCCCCTCCCTACACCCCCCTGCATTATGTCACTGCTGGTCACCATTATGTACCAATATTTGGCTCGCATAATTTCAAATTTGAGCCCCCCCCCCCCCCTAAGAAATCATGGATCCGCGCCTGACTTTGGCAATAAGCGGGGTTTATTTCGCAAACATTACACCCAACACCACGAAAGAAATCCGAACACTCGAAAACCCAATGGATCTAAATAAGCCGGCGGGCGACATTAAAGGTACTACAAAGTTTTGGGAAATTTTGAAAATTGGGTGGATAGTTATTCTTTACAATTTCGATATATTTGGATGCCCCTGTGGATGTATCAAAAACACCAGAAATTTTAGCTCCTAAAACACTTCTGCAATCGAGAAAAATTGAATATAAAGATTTACCGGTGCTCCCGGTAATTTTTGATGAATTTCAAATAGCTCCTACGGCCGTACAATGGTAGCTGCGACCATGAAAATCTCACAGTATGTGGTTGTGGTATATAATTTCCGAACGAGAATAGCTAATCGGTCGATTTTAGTCAATAAACATTGTTTTATAGCTTAATTAATATCTTGACCTTGAGAGGGAGCTATTCAAAATAAAGTGTTAATTAATTACAATTTCATAACTTTAGAGTCGATTTTGACCGATCACTGAATATTGTAGGATTGTATATGCTTCCAATATGTTCATTTGAACTAAATTCATGACCCCATACCAAAACTTTGTATTACCTTTAATGCTATATAATTTGAGGATTCAATGTTAAGGCATGCATCCATTAATGAAGACATTAATCAAACATCGCTCATCATTTTGTTGGGGGGGGGGGGCAATTTTAATGTATTCTTTATATTATCTGCGAAATGAGGGTGCGTATACAAATAGATTCTTGACGTACAATTAAAAGAAGGTTCTGGTAATGGTGAAAACACAAAAAATGAACTAGAACAGAATTCGCAATTATTCTAATTCTTGAGTGGCAGGATATATGTCAATTGTCAGATTATTAAAGGTATTTTTTAACAAATGCTTTCACAATCCAAATAGAAATAAAAAATTAGATCAAATTTTGATATCAAGTATGTGTGTAGTGCCAAATACATATCTGTATTCAATGCTTATTGTTATTTGTGATTGCAAGAAAAGTGCATTAGTATCACCCAAATAAAATAAGTATCACGTACCTCTTGGTCCATCCTTCTTTAGAATCTCGAGCATGTCATAGAACGCGCCACTGTATATGGGGATTCCAAGGGCGCAGTCCATTGATTGGCCAAGGTGAGTCCCTGGTCGAAGGCAGTCGAGGCGATGAGCTGGTAGCTGATATTTCTCTGTTGATGACATCACGTCTAGGTCAACGATATGGGCGGTGGTCATCACGCCCAACCATTCACGGACATATCTATAATGACATGTATTGATGACGTTTTTTGCTAGAAATGTATGATATTTGATGATCTCCCGTCTTGTAGTCCTACTTTATTCTGATACTAATTCAAGATATAGAGTACCGAAGCTGTGACATCATAAAAATCTATTTTTAGAATTCCCAATTTTTACTTCATTTTCCGAAAGAGCATCAAATATAATGTCCAAATTTCGAAAACCAATTGAACATGTTTAGTATTTTCTGAGTGTTATTTTGCTCTGGTTCGTAATGTTATGAACCAGAGCAAAATAACATTGAGTTCCTACATGAAATTTATTTATTCAGATGGGCATATCTCAGCTTAAACTTAACATATTCAAATGATTTTCAAAAGTTAGACATTGTTTTTATGCTCTTTTGGAAAATGAAGTAAAAATAGAGAAATTCTTTTAATTTTTTTTTTTTTTTTGTAATGACGCCACACTTCAGTACTCTATATTGACTTTGACTTGATTTAAATCAAACAACCCGCTTCTCAGAAACCAGCTCGTTTGACTGAAATCAAGTAGGTGAAGATGAATATTGATAATATTTCTTTAAAGGCTAAAATTAAAAGCATAGTATCATCTCAATTGGCAGTCATATAATCTCAAGTAAATAACTACGTCACTCCCCTGCTCTCAATACATGTAAGTAACCATGTCACACTTCTGCTCTCAAGAAAGTAACCATGTCACACTTCAGCTCTCAAGTAAGTAAGTTACCATGTCACACGTCAGCTCTCAAGTAAGTAAGTTACCATATCACACTTCAGCTCTCAAGTAAGTAAGTTACCATATCACACTTCAGCTCTCAAGTAAGTAAGTTACCATGTCACACTTCAGCTCTCAAGTAAGTAAGTTACCATTTCACACTTCAGCTCTCAAGTAAGTAAGTTACCATATCACACTTCTGCTCTCAAGTAAGTAAGTTACCATATTACACTTCAGCTCTCAAGTAAGTAACCATATTACACTTCAGCTCTCAAGTAGGTAAGTACATTTAACTATGTCACACTTCTGCTCTCAAGTAAGTAAGTTACCATATCACACTTCAGCTCTCAAGTAAGTAACCATATTACACTTCAGCTCTCAAGTAGGTAAGTACATTTAACTATGTCACACTTCTGCTCTCAAGTAAGTAAGTTACCATATCACACTTCAGCTCTCAAGTAAGTAACCATATTACACTTCAGCTCTCAAGTAGGTAAGTACATTTAACTATGTCACACTTCTGCTCTCAAGTAAGTAAGTTACCATATCACACTTCAGCTCTCAAGTAAGTAACCATATTACACTTCAGCTCTCAAGTAGGTAAGTACATTAAACTATGTCACAATTCTGCTCTCAAGTAAGTAAGTTACCATATTACATTTCAGCTCTCAAGTAGGTAAGTTAGCATATCACATTTCAGCTCTCAAGTAAGTAAGTTACCATATCACACTTCAGCTCTCAAGTAAGTAAGTTACCATATCACATTTCAGCTCTCAAGTAAGTAAGTTAGCATATCACACTTTAGCTCTCAAGTAAGTAAGTTACCATATCACATTTCAGCTCTCAAGTAAGTAAGTTAGCATATCACACTTCAGCTCTCAAGTAAGTAAGTTAGCATATCACATTTCAGCTCTCAAGTAAGTAAGTTAGCATATCACACTTCAGCTCTCAAGTAAGTAAGTTACCATATCACATTTCAGCTCTCAAGTAAGTAAGTTAGCATATCACACTTCAGCTCTCAAGTAAGTAAGTTAGCATATCACATTTCAGCTCTGAAGTAAGTAAGTTAGCATATCACACTTCAGCTCTCAAGTAAGTAAGTTAGCATATCACACTTCAGCTCTCAAGTAAGTAAGTTACCATGTCACAATTCTGCTCTCAAGTAAGTAGCCATGGCACAATTCTGCTCTCAGGTAAGTAAACATGTCACACTTCTGCTCTCAAGTAAGTAGCCATGTCACAATTTTGCTTTCAAGTAACCATGTCGTACTGCTGCTCTCAAGTAAGTAACCATGTCACAATTCTGCTCTCAAGTAAGTAACCATGCCACCCTTCTGCTCTCAAGTAAGTAACCATGTCACACTTCTGTTTGTCAAGTAAGTAACCATGTCACACTTCTGTTCTCAAGTATATAAGCAACCATGTCACACTTCTGCTTTCAAGTAATAACTTCACACTTCTGTTCTCAAGTAAGCAACCATGTCACACTTCTGCTCTCAAGTAATAACTTCACACTTCTACTCTCTAGTAAATTAGCCTTGCTGCATAACTTTTGCCCTGGCTCGCGTCACTGGCTCGTGTCACGCCTCCGCTCTTGGGTAACTAATCGAGCCCTAGCTTCTGTTATCCCACAACCACATCTCTCTCTCAAAATCAACCCCCCCCCCCACCTCCGCAATTATTTTCCAGTGAGAATTGGGGATGAACGTTTAATAGTTTTAGGCCTACCTTCAAAGAATTAAAAGTTTCATATAATGTTCATTATGAAATTATTTCATGCGTAATATATTTGACATTAAACGTAATGTTTAAGCATACCGTTCCTTTAGCCCAGCTGCATCGGCCAGTTCTTGTGAAGTCAAAGCCTTGCCATGGTGAGCGATGAGGACGTCGAACAGACCACTCTTAATCCCCAATGCAATTGAAAGTCCAGTAAATCCCCCACTTATGAAACCAAAAAGGCGTGAGGAAAACTCCTCGGTAGTCTCGTTGGCGTATTGCTGAGCCATTTTGCTTTAGTTTAGAGCACTCCTTTGTAATGGAAAAAACTACGTGAGCTATACTGTTATACTACGATGAACCAGGGACCTACTCCCTGGGTGAACTCTGACACTGAACCCATGAAAAAAATAGAGTGTTTCAGAACAAGCCATGCAAGATATCGTGGACCTAGAAATCAGGGGACTATATTCCACCCTGTAGCCCTGATTTTATCCCTATACTTGGTCATTGTTTGTAAGCTTATTCACGTTGACTCGACAAGATATCAACGCCCGTCGCCATGTTCATCAGGCTTATTAGGTCGGGAGTTTATTTATTTATTTATTTATCAGTGTATACAAATATGTCTAGTATGAGCATCAATAGACAGTAGCTATTTCCTTATTTTTCAAAATATCAGATTTATGGAACACCTTGTATACGAACTATCACGTGATCCTTCGTATTACGAAGGATCATGCGATAGTTGACCTCATATTCTACGTGACTTAGGACTGCACCTTGGCCACGTATGTACAACGCTTGCATCTTCATTGAGGGTGCAACGAGAAAACAACTCGAAGCCAAAGTAAACAAGACATCAGGACTGTTCATGTTATTTGGATGGGACCTGCAACGCTTCGTAGAGAGTACCTCAGTGGCATTGCGTATTTCAAGGGGGAAAAGGGGCAAGTTGCCCCCCCCCCCCCCCAACAAAAAAATAAATAAATAAATAAATAAATAAATAAATAAATAAATAAATAAACAAGAAAGATTTATACAAAATAAGTATTCGATTAAGTAAGGAAATTATTGTAAGGGAATTAATCATAAACTGCGATTGAAGTCTCACAAAAATAAGGATATTGCTTGATGAAGCCAAACCGCAAAAAGGAAGAGAATGATAATAAAACTAACATTAAAGGTATTACAAAGTTTTGGTATGGGGTCATAAATTTGGTTCAAATTAACATATTGGAAGAGTGCGTTCCTACAATATTCATTGATAGTTGTCGCGGTTCGGAAATCGAGTCTAAAATTTTGAAATTGTAAATAATAAACTTCTTATGTCGTATAGCTCCCTCTCAAGGTCAAGATATTAATTAAGCTATAAAACAATGTTTTTTGACTAGAATCGACAGATTAGCTATTCCCATTTGGAAATTATATATCACAACTACATATTCTGAGATTTTCATGGTCGCAGCTACCATTGTACGGCCATAAGCGCTAGTTGAAATTTATCAAAATTTACCAGGTGCACCGGTAAATTTTTATATTCAATTTTTCTTGAAAACAGAAGTGTTTTAGGGGCTAATTTTTTTAGTGCTTATAATACATCCACAGGGGCATCGAAATATATCAAAATTGTAAAGATTCGATATCCACCCAATTTTCAAAATTTCCCAAAACTTTGTATTACCTTTAAGAATATTCTAGTCTCGCACCTCTAAAAATAACGACACCCACCCCACCACAAAAAAAATTAATAAAAGTACACAACCCTTCCTCAAATAATACACTAGGGATTACTGTTACTGTTCTCTAAGGATCGAAGCCAGCCAGCTCCCCCTCCAACAATATATGACCCTTCCATAAAAAATACTTGTACAACGTATTACTGCACTGTTCTTTGACGGTACAGCTCAGCTCATAGCGCGCAGGGAGCAGTTTGGGGAAGGGGGGGGGGCATTCCAAGGGGCTCACCTTTCAGGGGCAGTGGCGTAATGAGCAAAGAAGGTTGGGGGCAGAAGAAAAATCGGCATTGCCACCACTCTTACATGTTACATGCAGGTCTCGCGGAACGTTTTTCAAAGTGGAGTATTAACGAGTGCTGGAGCGAGTGGAACGTAAATTGGCGTGGGGTCCAGGGCTTTGCCGCGGCAGGGATCAAGGGACGGAGCCTCCGGAAGCTCAGGGGATTAAGGCATTAAATTAAGGTCAGATATGCATATTTAGATACCTATTGTCAGACTGGCTGGCAGGTCACTAATTGGCGCAGGGTCCAGGCGGCTGAGCATCATGTCGCTCAGGGGTATTACGCATTTAATTACGGTCAGATGTGCATATTTTGATACCTTATTTGTGACACTGGCAATTCACTATTTGGTAGGAGGTCCAGGGGGGTGAGCCCCGTGGAGCTCAGGGGTTTTATGTATTTAATTACGGTCAGATCAGCATCCAGGGGCCCGCCTTAATAGGGCCCTTAGTGGGGATCAGGGGCGGAGCCCCCGTAAACTCAGGGGTGATTACGGTCAGATGAGCATATTTTGATACCTCATTCGTGACACTGGCAGGTCACTAATCACTTTTTTTCTCTCTTTCTTTCTTTTTCTCTTTAACAAACTTCTTCAAAAAAGTGAGGGGGGAATTTTCCAACAAACGCATAAAAAAAAAAAAATTACCCCAGAATTTGGGAAAATTCAGAAAAATCGTGTCATATCAGCAACATGTGTAAATTACTGGTATCGAAGTAGAAATAAACCACGTTAATTATTTTTTTTGAGGTGGCAACTGCCCCCCCCCCCCCCCTCCATCAATACGCCAGTGTTCAGGGGGTAATGTATTCTCACCCGTATAATAAGAAAACACACACGCTTTCCCATCATCTCACAATATTTCCACGATACGTGCGTATCGGTATTATGAAATCCTCTATTGATAGATATAGGGACTGCGAAATTTTTAGGAAATTTAATTCCTGTTTACTCTCCTTTTCTTTGGATGGAATATAATGTTTATGTGATTCAATTCAGGTTTTATTAGTTATCATATCTTTTCGGATAAACAGTTCAAACAATTATTACTCCTTTACTGCTGATATTTTTTTTCAAGGGATGGCTTTGGGGGAATGCGTTTTGCCCCCCCCCCCCCTACTTTTTCGTTTGGGATCGACCGTCAGCAATATCGTTTGTTCTGAACTTTGCTTGTTTACATTGCTCTTTATCCTTTTATACGGTACTATTATTATATTGTCACTCTAGTTATCGTTATACTTGGACTTTGCTATATCAGGTCTGTTATAATATACAAAGACGACCATATACGAGATTATTAGATCATCGTAGTTATGTTGTTGTTGTCGTTTTTTCAACTTTGTTGCTTCTATTTTTTTTCCTATTCATATGAAATAGTAATTATTATCGATCTCGCTGAAATTAAGTATTGTAAAAAGCATTATTGAAAAACTTAATTTATTGTCATTCCATGTTTACTGTCTCCCACGAGGTTGGATTGTTTTTCTTATTCTCTCTTTTCATGTGGTGATTAGGGCAGTGGGGTTTCTCGGGGTTTAATCAATCAATGAAGCTTTGGGATAATAATTATGAACATTATCTGTCTGGCGGGGAAGGGTTGAAGGAGAAGGGGGAAATTGTTCCAGCTTTGCGTGCATCATTGCATTATGTTCCTAAAGAGGCCTTGTAATACAGGTGATTCCCCTTTATTTACCCTCGCCATATATACATGCTGCCCTTTACCAGATATACGATGATATTCGCAGAGTCAATGCCATGAAAGATTTGTAAACTCGAAAGAAAAAAAATTAACTAGTACAAAATGTACCCTCTCCAAATTCCCCCCCCCCCTTCCATCCCGTGTACGATTTTACCTAGCAAATATGCATCCTCCATTTTTACCCAATATTGAGAAACATACTGAACAATGGCTGCTCTCTTCTTCGATTATGAATAGCAGTCCTTATGAATAATGGCCCTTATAAATAATAACCCTTTTCTCAATATATGAATAGCGGTCCTTAGGAATAGTAGCGGTCCTCATGAATAGCGAGCGGACTTCATATACATGCCTGTCTGTTTGTTTGTAAAAAAAAAAATTTAAATTAAAAAAAAATAAAAAATAATTGCTGGGTAAACCTTGATAACAAGGAAAACGATCTCTTAGTACAATGTATTCAACGCTTCACCCTACAAACAATAATGTTACCTTTTGACCCAATACTGAGTAAACACATTTGAGAAATGATCGCTCTAAATAATATAGAGTAAAAAGAGAACTTATATAGGCTTGTTGCATGATATATTGCACATTTGCTGAGTAGAATTTTACCTTTTACCTCCTGAGTAATATTTTACCCCCAAAACATGTATGTTCCCTTTTACCCTACATTTATATTGGGGTGGGAGGGGGGTGACGCAAATATGAGAAGCATAGAAATAAATGACACTGGTCGCTCTAAAAAAATACCCAATATTGGGTAAAGGGGACAGCATGCATACTCTATGGGTAAAATATAAATCATCTGATAGGTAAAAAAAAAAAAGTATCCATGGCCCGTACCTCTTCGGTAAAAGTACACATTTCGATACCCCCCCCCCCCAAAAAAAAATAAATAAATAAATAAATGCATTTTCCCTTTTAACCCAATACAAATGTATTTAGTAATGATTCTAATGATGTATGTGATAATCATAACAATCGCTCTATAGGCTCAATTTTTTTGGTAAAAATGAGAATATGCCTGTTTTCAGGGTAAAAAACTTGCCGTGTAAAATGTTACCCCCCCTCCCCCCTTCGTTGAAATTACCAACAAACATGCATGTTATTTCGATGTGCAAGATTTCATAATACCAAGTGATGAGAGTAAAAGTAAAAAGACCAATACTGCTGTTATGTGTGTAATCACGGCTTATGAAAGAAGAAAAAAGAAAAAATTGTAAGCACATAAAATCAAAATTCAAGCCCTGGAGCACACCAACATAAGAATATTCCCATATCAATTTGCATCGAAGAAATGCAACATGCATATTTAAAGCCCCCCCCCCCCCCCCCCAAAAAAAAAAAAAAAAAAAAAAATACACTTGAATGCATGTATTATATATATATGTACAATATCATGTTGGAGTCAGAAAAAATATATATTACCAAATGCCATGATGTTTAGCAAAGAATTTAGTAGGCGCCAAAATCCAGTATAATCCTGAAACACTATTTCAATACAGACGTCATGATTGCCAGCCCGCATGATGGCGTAAAGAACTATGTGCCGTCGTCGAATAGGTATAATAATGGATGGGGCTCTGATAGTCTAACTCATGGATGGTCTACATCAGCCGGTTCTTTGAAAGGGTGATCAAGAGTCTTTCAAAGCCTTACATTATTTTGATCTGAAAGGATGAACAACGTAATCACATTCACCCTTTATTAACTTCAATTAACTCTTCAACATTGCAATGCTTTCAAATTGTTTACATGCCTCTATTATAGTTCATTAGTGACGACCTCGCTAGCGCGAACGAGACTTGCCCGATTGCGCAATTAATTATGCATTCTGATTTTTGAAATACAACAATTTGTAATTGGTGAATGCAATACCACATATTCTACCAGGTAATCAGACAAGCAGTGTTTTTTCAGTAGATCTCTGAGGTTAACAGACATGTATGTAGTGGATAGAATGCTAAGTAAAATTGTTTCGTGCAACGAGACAATAAACGGAGTGTTTTTGTTCGTTTGTTTGTTTGTAACGTTGTTACAGGGAGAATTACAGACTCCCATTTGCCTAGAGTATGTTGAATATCTCTGAACAATCTTTCAAATACAGTATCCAACTTTAGGGGTGCCCCCCCCCCCTCTCTCTCCTCCTCTTCCTCCGTGGCAACGTTGATAATTGAAATTGGGGCGTTTCCAATACTGGTCTTTACCTTTAATGTAAGAAATACTGCATTGATTTGCTCAACTGATCAATATCACTTGACAAGTTTTATTACACCCCCACTGAAACAGACACCAACATTATCAATTGGATTTGCAAATATCAAATTCTACAAGGTTTATACTTCCTATTATTTCATCTAGTATAAAAAGTGTCACAACTTGGTAATTTAACCCAGCCCAAAGTGTATGACATGTATAGATCATATGGTTCCTTTTACCAAATTCACACAAACTTCCTTTTTATGCCTTACCACCTACATCCAAAAAAAATCTAAAAGATTTTGCTATACTATAATGCAATACATGATGCTGGCATTCAACATCATGGACACGATAGCTTTTGTCGCCTATGAAAAAGAATACGATAGAATCATTATTAAGATGATCACAGACAACCAATAGACCTTTTTTTGTTATTTTATTTCCTAAATTACAAATACATGTAGATATTTTGTCTGAAATTACAGCAAACTGAGTAAAACATAAGATTTTTGTCTAGATATTATAGTGAAAGTATCAGCATTATTTATGAAACCTTAAAGTACATTTGATTCAATAAAATACAAGATATAATCGATTAATTTGGAGATATGATTGATTAATTTAGAATTCTTGACCTTAAATGCGGGTGGCAAGAAGTACACTTTGATGCATACTTGCACATGTATGTCACCATATTCATTAAATATGCCATCATAACTAATACAATCAATAGATTCAACATAGAAAGAACAAGATAATATGCCCCTAACTTTGCTTTTTTGGTTAGTTGACACCAAATCACCTATTTTTTCTTTTTAATATATTAAACCCTTTCCTATTTAATTGGGCCAAATTTAGTACATGGGCCTAATCCCATTGAGCAATGTGACATCAAGAGACCCTTTCACAAACAACACACACAATAAGATGAACAGATATTGATCAAATCCATGCATGTGCAAGGTATAATAGTCTGTACACTGTGGAAAAAATATACACTTTTGTTACAAATGCACTTCAGCTTATATTCTCCTTTCTTCATTTGCATAAATATGATTTGCATTAATCAATGTTAAGCACAAGCTCCAAAAAATTAGGTACTACATCAAATTTTACAAATGAATCTATCCAGTTTTATTCCAATTTTCAAACAGCCTTTTATACCTCAGTCACATCAACAAGACCAACACTAGACCGACATGGAACTGAACAGAATTAACCTGAATGGCTAAGAATTGATTGGTTTGGAGACGGTCTGGAGTAGGTTTGGCGGTGTGACTGAGGTTCATGTATAATCATTATTTGTTCAGCCCTGTGTAACAATTACCAACGACAAGTTATTAGTATTGACCATGATATGAGAAATATTTGCTTGTTCAGATGAGAGAATAAATGAAGAAGGAAAGAATCCTGTAAGAAATGATTCACATACAAAATCTTTTATCTTCTTGGAAGTTTAGAATAGAAATAGTCTTGAATAATCTCAATCAAAATAAATTTCAATCAGATTCGTGAATATTCATCTTTCTTTGTGTCTGGGGTTAACTAAGTGTATGCTTTCACTCCTTGTTAAATACTCGGGTTGTTTTTTAAAGTAGACGGCACAACTACAAAATTGCTCTTATTTTACATGACCGTAGACACTATTTTAGTTGCCCCCCCCCCCTCCTGCTGCAGTGAAAGGCACATCCAGAATTTCTAATTTTAAATCAAATCTTGCTACAAGAAACATAAGTCACCATTACAAAACTACAACTACAATTGGAATTCAACACATCAATACACTGTTTCATTTACTTTTTTTGGTGCAAATATCTACATTTTCAAAATGTATATCAATCTGACAATGTACTTAACTTACATCTCTACTACTATTCATGTATATTTCACTTTAAAAATAATTGGAATAAAAAATAATGAACGACAAATCAGACCGTGACGCAAAAAGGGCTATGTTGAATAAAGCACCTTTCAAAGGTCTACTGACCTTCTATCAGTACGACAAGAAATACAATTCGATGCAAAATACTAACCCAATATGAATATATCATTGTCGCTGTTTACTTTACAGTTCCAATATTTTCCTTTATCTTCAGTAATTGTATTGTTCCTACCCATCCCTTTCCCTAAGACTCTACCTATACTCAGTACTGTCCGCACAATGATTTTGAATGACGAGCTGATCAAAAGTAAACAATATAGTAATGATGATGGTATACAGAATACATCCCATGAATTGCTTACACCTAGATGAGGAACTGCATTATAAAACCATTGTGAAAACAGCACTCTTTATGTACCTCTTAATAGTTTGTTCTAAACTGAACCTAAATTCCAATGCCCTTGCTGCCTTTCGGTTATAATCCAGAAGTGGCCCGTGCATCCTCGGTCCCCTTCATGATGAAACAAGGACGTAGATCATACTGTGAAAAGACAAAATAAAATTATAGAAACAGAGATTGTTATTTACTTATAACTCACTTTCAAAGACACCTTGGACATTTTCAGCCATAGCATTGCAGGTTCAATTAATTCAAATTTTTTACATGGAGAATACCTTTTACTTAAATATATTAAGGTCCTTTTTAAAATACATTCAGTAACACCATTCAAATATAATGCGAGAGAAATTGAGAGAATAATGGTTACATAGCTTAAATCAAAGTTGCTGTCCTCCCTTCTGGAAATGTTTAAAAAGTTTGAAATAGATGCCTCCACCGGGAATCAAATTTGAGTCACTAATTCAGGGACCCGGGTTAGCTTAGAGAACTAAGAACAGAACAAAGGCTCCTGCACTACAATAGTGGTAAAATAGTGCCATACAAATGGACTGTCGATCCAAAAATCCTTGCCCATGTACACTGCACTTACAACCTTAAGAGTGTTTGTAGTTTGCTAGTTGCTTGTACCTCTATACTCCTCTCCATCAGATAATTACACATTAAATATGGCACAAATTATTAATTAACCTGTAGAAAATATTGAGGTCTAATGGATAGGTCACCGAACTGTTGACCACTTGTTGGGTGGTTCAAATCCATACCATAGTGATAATGTCCTCTTGTAAGACATTAATGCCACTCTTGACCGAGAGGAATTACATTGGTACCCATTGGGCAGAATTTGTTTGCATGGAGCTCAGCAAAATTCATGGTAATAAGGGTTTAAATCACTTTGTATGCTCAACAAAGGGCATTATACATCCAGATATTATTATGATTATTTCAAAAATTGGGAATCTGGCAGTAGTTGTCCAGCTTTTGATTAGGAAAGGTGAAAAGATAAATATTTGTGAAGAGACAATATTTCAGACCCTTTTTGTTTCCATTTCTCTTTACAGGAATCATGCAAACATGATCTCTGACTGATTCTGTACATATCAATAGAAACAGCTGTTCAAACTAGCTTTGTTGGCATTGCTGCAAGAGGTCAACCTACCTGTATAAATAGTAGAAGAATGATAGGAGATAGAAGGCAAGCTTTATCCATCCTTCCCTCATACATCTGGATAGGATGTCTGCATTCATGATGGTGGTAGCATCATACAGACCAGGTCCACTCATCACAGGCCGGTTGGCATATCTGCAAAGTCATCGAAACAGAGAAATACTACTATTGGAAGGTGCATGAATGTTAAATAGTTTACTACTACATCTTGTTACTAATGTTTATGATAAAGATGTATTGCCTTACTCAATGTTCACATATATGGTAAAACATAATGTCTTTGTCTTGCCTCGGGATGAATTGACATCTGATCAAGAAAGTTAACATTTTGTCATCAATGTACAGGTTGAACACAAGATGGCAGTATTGCACAAAATGCTCTGAGCTTGATATACTTCACACACCCAAACCATTGCAGGCAAATGCAGCTGCGCCATCCTGCAACACTGCTCTATTTCCAATTTGTCACTACTACCTGTCACTATTATTAAGTTTAATGTGGTTTGAGGGATGGTGAGGGGTGAGGGGGTGTATTTAGGATGGAGTATATGTATACACCCAGTACTAACATACAATTTTTTAAATACATACCTGTAAATGTGATATCCCATAAGAGGGAGGTTGAGGACTACAGTGAAGAGCTGTCCAGCAATCAGGAACAGAACATTGTAGAAGATGTGGATGATGTACTCTGGAAGTACAAGCTGTTGAAAGAAAAAGTGTATGTCTTTCATTATTATTCAATAATGGATAATTAACAATACTTTGGACATTCCAATCGCATCCCCCCAAGAAAAACAAATATATAGACATGATTATATGAGAAAGAAATAAGTAAGCAATTCATGTAATCTTGATAGAGGTGATGCATAGTAGAAGTATGAGAATATGGGTGTAATGTAGCTGAGTCAGAGAATCAATTTATCAGTTAGTTAAAAATATAATACATGTTGTCACAGATGTACATTTTGTAACTGTATACCTTGATTGATTACCAGAAACATATATACGATGTACATTTCTTGTATTTACAGTGCACCTTGATATACAAGTAATGTTGATTCCTGTTTTAAACCTTTAAAGCCCATCTGCACTAGTTTGGCCAGGAGGTATTATACCTCCCTGCATGGTCACTGGCAGGTGGATATCTCGTAAAAAAAGCTCTCAATTAACATAAGAAAAAGGGGACCATGGGGGGACCAATGGTCACTGATTAGGCATTGTTTGCTATATAGAGGGCACAAGTAGCTATAACTAGTGCACTGGGGCTTTAAAAATTGGTAATATAGGGCTAGTTGCTAGCATTTCTCAAATTTCTTGGCATTTCTACACATCAAATTGACATCAAGGTGGACTTCCACTCTTTAAGTTAGGATGAATGATGATGGAACGACATCATCCTTTTTAGATTCCTACTTACCGGGTTGAGGCTGTTGCACTGATCTATAGGATTCTTGTAGTCCGTTTTCAGCTCATCAAAAGCGATTATCTGAAGAAAGAAAAAAAAACAGGGAAATAAGAAATTCAGTAGATAGGGGTTCCTCAATGATTGATAACAAATAAGCATGAAGAGCTGCAACAAATTTGATGTGCTCTCCTACGTGTACCATCCCCAACAGAATCATTGACGAGCATTCTTATTGATCAGCTACATGTACGTGTGAGGTCTTTAAGTAACAAGAATCTGCAACATAATCTTAGATCTCTATTCTCCACAAGCTATCATATTAATATTTTCATATGTATTGAGTCGTTTAAAGAAAAAAAAAATTTATGTCACTGCTTTCAGATGATTTTCATTCCATCAAGACAGTTAACGCGAAGTAAATCTTCATCAATTGTTAAATAATGGTAATGATTTAAAAGTTGTTACGTTTCTTACATGTTTTGTGTCAATTTTTCCTAAAAACAAAGACATTATAATATACACTTTCTCACAGGTTTCACAGCAAACCGCTGCACAAATACTATACAATTGCATACTGTACTGAAGAAGGGATGTGGGCGGGCGTGCGTGAAGTAAGCGACTGAACAATGATCAACCATAACTTCACGCACCCCTTCGTCAGGTCGGTATGGTAACTGCATGCAATTGTTTTGTAATTGTGCAGCAGTTCGCCGTGAAACCTGTGAGAAAGTGTAGGCCTATATCATAATGTCTTTGTTTTTAGGAAAAATACTCCAAAAATTCAAAACTAAAAAGAGATAAGAAAAATTGACACGACATAGGCTTGAAACATAACAACTTAGTTTTAGTTTTAAATCATAACCAGCATTAATTGAACAATCGATAAAGATTTAGTTGATTTTCGGTATGTTTTAGTTGGGTATCTCCACGCCGGAGTTACGGGTCAAGAATGGATACAAAAGTACATTAGCTAGCGCCGGAATTCCTATTTGCCAATTCAATACACCAGTTTACAGTTGTGTACGCCATTTTAATTGGCAAGTAAACAAAGCCAATGACCTAGAGGTCAGTGGTATTTATGCGTAAATGAAGATTGCGCCCATGCAAATTATGATAACATCACTGCCTGCGCGCTGAGCTGTGCGCTCACATCATAATTTGCATGGGCGCAATCTTAATTTATGCACAAACCAAATGACCTCTAGGTCATTGGCTTTGTTTACTCACCATTTAAAATGGCGCCCATGTCTGCGCATGCGCACTGATACAACTGTAAACTGGTGTATTGCCTTTGCTTTGTTCAAAGCAAACTTGAGACATACATGAAACTCAGTACGTGGGACCAAACAAAAGAGTACCGCCCAATTTCTAAAAAAACAAAATTACGGAACTATTGAACATTTATTTACAACGATTTTCATATATGACATTCAACAGCTTCAACATGAGTATTATACTTACATGAAAAATGGCAAAGAAAATTAAAACAGCAGCCAATATCATGGCTAGCAAGTAGCAAAGAGCGACAAATGTAAACGCCATGTTGGAACTTTTTGTGTCTCCAGCAAAGATGTGTTATGTCGCCCTCTACAGGGGTAGGCCTAACGTCATTGAATCACAATTCTGTGCATTGAATCGACACGATGAAAGAATACCAAAAATAGAAGTAGAAAAAAACTATTGAACGTCAAAATAAGAGGTGTAGTTGGATCAAGAGGGGGGGGGGGGGGGGGGGGGGGGTAGGAGCGCGGGGAACCCACATAAAGAAGACAAGTTTGTTAGTTATTGATTCCCCCTCCCCCTACGCCCCTCACACACACACACACACACGACCACACACTTTTTTTTTTTTTTTTTTAACAATTTTGTTTTATTTCTCCAGATGTGTAATACAAACCATGACATACAATTGAATAAAATAAACATGATCAATATTGATGCTTTTACATAAACATAATTAAACACAAACTTATTTGCAGTATAATATAACTTAGCAACAAAGTAAACGTATAAGTACCTAAACATAATATGTCAATTGTAAATGTTATTTACTTATATATTACAAACAAAAACAAATCTGGAGATAATTTTACTGAAACAATCCTGCCCCCTCCTTGCCCCCTACATCACACAGACATACTCACCCTCTATCACACAAACATACTCACCCACTCACACACATACTCACCCACCCACCCACCCACCCTCCCCCCACACACACACACAGTACTCACTCAGTGTGTGTCTGCCAACACGCACACACACACACACACACACTCTCTCTCTTTCAGATTTTCAATAATTCATTGCATTTCCCCCGGTCCCCAACATCACAAATTCCTCTGTAGGGCAATGCATTATGGGTCAAGGCATGCCCACATAGAGGATTTTTTTATCCTAGGGGTCGGGGCAAAATGCAATGAATTATTGAAAATTTATTGCATTTTCTTTGTTTTTTTGTATTTATGGGGGCGGCGACGTACCCTTGCCCCCGCTGCGTACAGTCATGATTCAGTGGCTAAGCAATGGCCCCGTTACTGTGAGCCCCCAGGATCAAAACCGTTAATAGTGCCCTTTTATGAGGCATTATTCCTCATTACTGTCAGTTATGACTTAAGGACGTAGGTCCCCTAGTAGATTAGCATAGTAGCATACACATGCTTTAGCAGTCACGCAAAACAAACACTCACAAATTATTATTCAATCAAATCTGAGAATTTATACTATTATCTAGATTTAGTAGGAATAAATCATTGTTAAAACCTTTCCATAAATCTGGGTAAAAAAAAATATTCCACCATTATGACCAACAGTGTAATAATATCTTACAAATGCCCCTTTCAAAATCTGATAGGGCCCCTTTTCCGTCGACAAATGCCTATTGCCTATTCTCATGAATGACTTTTTTCATCCCTGGTGAGTGCCTCTTTTTGAGGGTGTAAGAAGTGCCCCATTTTCACCTCTGATAATTAATCTTTGTACTTTGGCACATGCTCCTTTTCTTCCTGATAAGTGTCCCCTTTTCCTCTCATCATTAAACTCCCCCTATATAAGAGCAATCTCCCCCAAAGCTCGCTCGCTACGCTCGCACGCATCTATAGATGATATACTCATACTTATCAAAGGTCTTCTGAGTCTTCCGTTATGAGAATGTGCTTACAACCCCATTAGAATTGGGTTTTTTTCTCTTTATAAGATGTAATTTTTTCGCACTGCGACCTTACACATCAACTGCGAAGCATAATGCTTAAGCAATATCTTGCATGGTGTATAAAGTGAAAAAAAAATTGAAATCATCCCTGATAATTGTATAATCACAATATATGGATATACACCAATGTCTAAAAAATTGTGTATTTTCGCTTTGAGATTTTCCTTTGTAGTTGCCCTTTTTTAAGGAAGTGTGGGCAGGGAGGGGAGGGACAGGGTTAGGGCGTTTAATTATTATTGCTACCTTCTTGGGAGTTCGTGGGAAGGAGCCACATTAAGATGGAATTTTAAGAGAATGACAATTTGACAAATGTTGTGTATATTATCGAACTCCGAGCATAAACCCAGACTTTCTTTTATATTTATCGAATTTAAAAGTGAGAATTCATAAAATATTGTGACACTTACAACTATTATATGGTTACTCGGACAACATGAAAAGATAAATAAAATATAAAACTTAATCCATAAGGATTTATACAATTATCTACACTTCTGAATAATTCGAATTTCATGAAGATATACTTCTTTTTCATAGTATCGTCGGAAGTAGTACACCTGTTTCTCCTCTTTAATGTAGGACGTGGGTCAACGTGAGACTACTTTTAGAGAGAGAAAAACAACCCATCAAATATGAAAGCACTTACAGGTGTCAATATTATATTGCTTTAAAGCGGATATACCGTTCTCTCTTGGCATCGTTTTGATATCGATTCACCCAGTTTCCGTCCAGTTAGATATCATTCTGTCTACAGTCTTATCGAATCTGATATCGTAGTCTTCAGCAAAACAGGAAGCAATCTTTGTTTGGTTTGTGGAAACTAGACGAATGCCAGAGTGCGTTTTTGCACAAACTACATAGGCGCCAGTCTCCTCGTCGATTTTTAATTTGGAGAGTTTAAAGCAATCATGGAAGTGGCTTGAATTGATGCTCTCTCTCTCCCCTCTCCTTATTTTTATTTTTTATTTCTCAGTAAACGGATGGATATATGCTAGGGTAGAGACATGAGCTACTTGAGGAGAGTCACGTAGCAGTGCTTAGTTTGCATGGCAGAAGCGAGTCAACTGATGTAACTCGATCGTCCCATGGGTGTTTAGTGCTCGTTGGGGGTCTGCACGCGATGGGAAGAGGGGGACGTAACTTGACGGTCAAGCCGGAGACTGTTTTTAATATTGCGTACGGAAGGTTAAATTAAAAAATAAAGGAACAATGTGTTTTGTGCCAGTTTATATTAATATAGAAATGGGGAGATTTTTTTCTGATGAAAAGAAAACAGTTGTACAACAGGTTTAGACAAAAGGCGTGATATGACCTTACAGCCTGGTCTTAATGATGATAAAGGCCGCTAGTTTTTTTAAATAATGGCTAACGTGCCACATTCGCCACGCAAAAAAAATTAATACTTCCTGATTTATTCCGTAAGTTGATATATAAATAAAACACAACCCCTGACCATACTGGTATGAAATTATTTCTCAATTTTTTTAATCGCTCGCTTCGGTCGCTCGCTTCGGTCTCTCACAAGTAGCCCATCTTAATGATTTGTTACATATCCGACCACTCAATGATGTAACCAAAAACAATATCAACGATAAAATCAAACAAATCAACCGTAAGGATACAAGTTATTCTTTATGATGCATTAAGCGGGAGTGGAAGAGTATCTTGGAAATGCTCCGCCGCAGGTGTCTGTGTAATACTCAGTGGACCGCAAGGTAACTTTTTAGAAATTCTGAGCCGTCTGACAAATCAAGGATACCTAGCATTTTTTTCTAATTCAAGTATGAACGAGGGAGCAGGGGATGTTGGAGGTGTTCTTTATCATTACTTTATTATTACTGAGATTTGTTCTTGCATGCTCGGTCACGTTGGTTGTTAAAGGTTGGTTGGTTGCTTGCTTTTATTCATATTCAATGCGAAAACAACAGAGCATATAATACATTTTACAAAACAAGGACACTTCTAAAGGTAATACATGTTTCATCGTAATTAATAACATGAAAGAATGTTCGATAAATCATTAAATATTTTTTTAAAGGAGTTGCTATAGAGTGCTTAAGGTGATTTTGATTTTTTAATAATGAACCCCCCCCCCCAAAAAAAAAAAAAAAAAAGTAGTTTTCTGTCTTGTCAGAGAAGATAGGAATGAATAAGAATGAAACAGAATCCTTGGTATGCCACTTTTGTTAAAAATCTTTCCCAAGTGCCTGTCTTCGATCGCATCAAAACCATGTCCACACAACTGCACCTTTAAATCCGCCATATCAAGAGATTTCACAGAAATCGAGATGCAAAACGGAATGTATACATAGTTGAAGTGGCTGTTAGAATGGGCTGGCGACATGATATTCGGCGAGTCTAACAAAACCGTGACGCTCTCTATAGAGAAGCTCGGATAATTATCTCAAACTTTATTGTCTCTCCGTCTTCCTCTTTATTTCTCTTACTTATCTTCGCTCCTCTGTTTCGCAAGGAGACTCGATGAATTGACTTTGTAGAAGAGGCAAAACAACCCATTTCATTAAGGAGGGAAATGGCGACATTGTATTTCCTGTTAAGAAAGGTCGTCGGTGAGAGGACTGATTCTCAAGATTTTTTCATCCTATTCGTTGAATATTGCTTTCTTAGAGCAAACAATGATGTCCTAGAAAGTGGATAAACGTTTATTTTGTGGCAGTCTCCATGTCTCCAGTTAGATTTAGATATTTCAACAAAAAAACTTAAAGTCTCATCGCGGTCTTTATTTCATTTTTTTTTTCATTTTGATTTTCTTTTTATGATAGTAATAATAATAGTTGCAATTTAAATAGCGCCTTTTCCATCGGATACAAAGCGCTTTGAGATGTCATTCATGTTAGTGTCAAAATATTTAAGTTACATGTACCAAGCAGTGAAAGGCATGGTGAGTTCAATGAACATGGGGAATGCTTATGGGTTCAGAATAAACATTTCTTAAACTCTGTTTGAATTGTTCTCCCTTTTTAATTGTTCTCCCCTTTTCTCCTCTTTTTAATTATTTGAATTGTTCTCTTTTTCTGTTAAAACTTGTATATTGAAGGGAAAAAATGGAAAGTTGATATATTCAGATAAGAGGTGGCAGGCTCCGACGAAAACAAACCTTACACCTATATAGGACCACAACTGAATGTCTCTGCCTATTTTTAATATTTAATAAAAAAAATATTGGTAGATTATACATTATACATTAGTATCTTAAATGGTACTATGGAAAACACATTAGGTCACGTAAGTATAAGTATGCGTCTAATTTATAGACATTTTCTGTCTCATTTGGTAAAAGCTTGTGTTAATTTATGAGCGCGGGGGTACCCCCCCCCCCCCCCTACTATAGAGATGCACAAAAAACGACATATAGGAGCT